TTCCCAGTTTTTGGTAATTCAATCTGATTCATTGGATATATGTACATTCATGGCTGTTGTTGCAGGCTGTGGACCGAATGTTAGTTGACGTTGTGATTTTAATTCAGATGTAGTGGGTCAATCTAAGTACGTACCTTCAAATTTGAAAACTATAATTAAAGTCAGCAAGGTTGAATGGTAGCAGGGGTGATCAAAGTATGCTAACATGTTGGTATATTAGCGTGAGGTCGAAGTGGATTTCTTCAGCCAAAACGTGGATTTGCTGCCTCGCCTTTGACTTAAAAAACTTGCATGATGATGATTTGCATTGGATCCTTTGATAAGGAGGGTCGCGTGACACACATACATATGTAGTAGCAAGGTTGAGTCCTTCAGGCAAATCAGCTAGGGGTGGATTGACTTGCAAAGGATTGTTGGATGATGAAAACGAGATGATTGAAATTTGACTGAAGGGAATCACAAATGAATCCTGAAATGATTTCTGACCCATGTGCGAAACCCGAGAATTGCACTAAAGGTGATTTTTGTCCACTTTCACTTGAATTGATTGCCTTCAATGTGAAAAAGATGATTGGTGGATATATGGATAAACAAATTCATGGTCGCCCCTTACCTTGTAATGAATGATGAAATGATTAATGTGTTACCGAAGCTCGCTTGGCCGTAACTTCGGTTGGCTGAAACATCAGTTTGTTCAGCGGAATCAGTGGAGGTTTTGTCCAATTTGTCGATTTTGTTCAATTTCGTTGTTCGCCTTTAACTTGAATGATTGAAAATCTTTGGTCCATCATGAAATCCGAGATTTCAACCAAGCATCCAATCAAGAATTTAGATTCTATGAAGGCCAATGTGTTAGAGGCATGGGAGAGTGTGCCTACTCAAAAACTGGAACATCTAGCTGCCTCAATGCCTGAGCGGATTCAAGCTGTCATCACAGCCAAGGGTGGATCCACCCCTTGGTAATTAGCCAGGTAAAATACTTTTTCTTTGCACTCAAAACCTTTGTCCATACATAATCTGATAGACAAGATGCTGATCTTTAGTTCTCATTATCTCCAACAGGTAATATTGTATGTGTAATAAAAAGTTGTGGCACAATTTGTAAAAACCGATTGACTTTTTTTTTAAAAAAAAATCAAAAAACCGTAGCTTTTCTGTGACTACGTGTACATGATAGCTGATAATTTACTCAGATTGTTGCACATATGTAGTGTGGGTGTTATGGCTCAGGTGTGCAGTGATAGATCTTTTGATGACAACCTACAATAATCATCATTTTCCCAGTTGCACTTGGAAATAGTGTATAATGTTTACAGTGTCATCAATCTATCCAATCTGGCTGGATCTCAAAACACAGAACCTGATTTCTCTACACAATATGAGTTTTCTGGAAAAGCTTGTGTCAGATTGGTGAACAGGTAAACTTGGTAAACTTAGCATACCTTTGTCTTTGTCAACCAAAGCCCTTTTTTACCCTTTTGACCTTTTTGAGGTGCCTTGGAAGTTGAAGTGGACAAGGTTGATTCAAAGGCTTCAACAATTTTTTCACATCACTACATATGGATTATCTGCATAGGCTCCAGGGGCCAGACCGGCTTCACTAAAAAGATCCAGATCAAGTGGGTCAACATGCGCAAAGAGCTCTCTGGCTCCAAGATTTTTGGTCTTACTGGCACCCGTATAGAGATTGGTTGTTCCGCTGAATTTAGCAGAATATGAATGACCAAGTTTTTGGACCGCCCAGTCACGGTTGTTGCTATAATCATAACGACCAGGCAATTAGAATACATCTTCTGAAACCCTGTGCCTGAGCGCATGAAATGTAATTTGACATGCAAACCCAGCCATTTTGGCCATCATCCTCAACAATTCCAAGGAGTTTCAAGAGGCCGCAGGGGTACCAATCATTGGGCCAATAGGAGAATGGGTCAATTCACAGATGACAGGGTCTTTGGGATGGAGCCATTGAACCTTTTGAGTTGGCTGTTCAACAATATACACTCTAAAAATACAAAAAAACTCAGATTGAAGCTCTTGACACCAGGAACAATATACATTTTTTCTATTTTTTGCCCTTCTCCTGACCACCCAATATTTTTGTATATCAATATTTGTTTTTTCTGCCCAGAAAACATTATGTTTCTTGTAGTGTTTCCTGCACGTTGGGAGTGTGAAGTCTGTCAGGTGAAGTTGCATCTTTGTATCCTCAACATAGCCTAATGTATGTCCTGCCGCCGCCACCCAAGGTTCAAGCAGGTTCCCATGTGTTGTTATTGGAGTGATTCTTTGGCTGGGAGATCAATACAACTTTGATGAAAATTTAACAGGCTCATTGGATCTTTCTTGCATAGCAAGATCCAATGATGACGTGAGAATCTGAACACAGAGGTTTCAAGCTACTGGCCAATGCTTATGTGCCCCAAGGGTGAGGCATAAGCTTTGCAAAGAGCAAAGCAGTAGGACACCATGATTTGCAGGCTTAATAAATGACAAAGAATTTGTATACAGGAAGAGTATCAGATGCCCCTTTATTGCTTCCAGTCCTTGAGGATTTCCTGTTACATTGATTTTTACCTAAATTAGGTCCCTTTCCTGTTGGTCAGTTATCAAGTTGGTCCTTCACTCATCAATATGTCCAAGTGTGTTATCTCTGGCCTAAAGTCACAACTGATACCATGTTGTCTAAATCCAGTTGCCAAGTCTGTTTATCCAGGGCTTCTGAAATCTCCAGTAATAAAGATGAACTGCTTCAAAACGTTGAAAATGGGAGGCTTGTTGACATTTCTCAACTCTGATAATACTGCTTGCCACAAGGCATGAGTGTTGGTGTAATTCTTGATAAGCACTTTGATGTTTTTAAAGATTGCACATTCTAATCAGGTTGGCACCACAACAATTCAGATGCTGACACCGGACCACTTGTAAATTTGGAAAGATGACTGAGCACAGATATTCGAAGATATTGCATAGGAATTCAATGGAGATACTCTCTATTGACTCTATCAAGCTTTGGAATATCCTAGAGAACCTGTTGTTGGGTAAGAATGTGTTGCAGATTGTCATATACTCAAATAACTTGACGCCTTTCCCTGCCTTTTCCATAAAGTTGACAATGGGGTTGAGATTGTTTTGGTGGATTGATACCCAAAAATGAGATAAATTGGGCAAATACCCTGGTTCCAAATCCATGATATCTAAATTAGCAAAGTTGATTGATACAGACTCTAAAGAGGCTACATTACTTAATACGGCAGTGATTGACTGGGAATGGTTTAATACAGGACCCTTAAGATTATGAGCTGGAGGTCCTTCAGAAATCAATGTCTTTAGGCTTTTGATGTGACCCATTGAATCTATCATGTTGTCCAAAAACCCCACAGAGTCAGTGAATTTCAATTTTAAAACTTTCAAGTTAAATCCACATAGTAAGACAATGTCTGCTGCATTCTCCATATAAATAGATTTGGTTTTTGTGGTAGAATTTGTAGCCAAAATATCCTACTTGCAACCCCTGACCCGCAGCACAGTTAACACAAAATGCAGGTGTGCTGGTCCCCAGCGCCTTGCAATTGGCCAAAAACCACACTGTGCTCTTTCACACCGCAGGGGCCTGGCAATATTTTAGGCGCTGCGTAGAATTGCACCGCAGCCCAGCGCAGTTTCCTGCTGGTGCAAATCAATTGATGCCCACAAAACATGCACCCCTGTGCTGCGCTTCTATGTTTCTAAAAGGATGAGAGCTTTATGAAGCACAATGTGTTCTCAGCAACTTATGAGATAAACAAGTCAAGTAGAGTAAAGTACCTGATGGTACAAGAAAACAATAGATAAGAATGGATGAAGAAAAAGGAGACATAACTGAGGACACATTCATTCTTATATGAGTAGATTCTTGTATATCCTTGGTACATGAAATGGAATGAAGATGGAAGCAAAAAGCAACAACATCATAAAATAATTGATTATGAGTACATGGCTAGAAGAGGAAGAATTCAATATCTTTATAGTTCCCAGCACAGGGGACTTCCCATCTTTGACCCCTTTCACTGCTTTCTCAGTGTAGCGCAGTCCTCACAGCGCCAATCACCAGCGCAGTGCATTTTGCACCAAAAATGTGCTACCCTGCACTGGCGTCGGGGATTGCTACTTGTCTACCAAGACGCCGCTGAAGGACTTGAAGCTATGCTTCTGGGAAAAACATGACCTGATCTAGACAAAGACTAGTGATATATCTGATATTGGGGGGTACCATGCAGGTTGACAACATCTGGATGATGAAGCGTTCAGCCCAAGGATTTTTCTAAAGTCAAAAATCCGTAAACAAATCTTGGGATCACATCCACCCAGAACCTCACCACCAACCGGAGATTGAGTAAGTCAATGATTGAGTTATGATCTAGAAAGTGGGTGTTGCCACTGTTGGTTTCTTTGATCAATTTATTGGGTCCTGCAAAATGCAATACAATTCTGTCTACAATTTCAATTGGTGGGGGTGATGATCCAGGCATGTCATCAGTGATTTGAGCTGAATCAAGCAAAAGAATCTTGACCATAACGCTCAAAAGTGAATGAATGATTTCTTTGAAAACCATAAAGAGGAGAAAAATGAAAGCTTGAAAGCTGGGGCGCCATAGCCTCAAACCCTTGACATGTCAAAAATGAATCATTAGGCAACAAATCATTGCATCAGTAGATGAAATGCAAGCCTCACCAGGAGAGTACTTTGGAAAGAGGCGGTTGCACTGAAGATCAATGTTTCTACTGAAACTAACATTTACAATTATAAGAAGTCAATTACTACATTAAAGGGTATAATATATTGAAGTAGAACAGCAACAATGGCAATTATATGTCACTCAGAAAAATAGTACAACCAGGAATCCCAAACTTTTGTGTTTCTCTTTTCCACATTATTAACACAGTGACTCTAGCCAGCTAGAGCGTAGAATCAAAAAATTGAAGACCTGGCTGGATATGGGGTCTTGGTATTATAAGCTCTTTCAACAAGGTGGTAGGTTTGGTATAGTCTTACGGCTCTTTGAATCTACCCTCCCGCATGCATTCGAAACGACCGTTGTCTTGGTTGATCCGGTGAGCTGAATATTATTGAACTGATGAGGTGGGGGATCAGAAGGATGATTTGGAGTTGGTGCACGGGTCATACTCCGAACAGGAATGGAATCTGCAATTGCGTACCTGGAGACCGGTACATGGAGAACGTCCGGGGCAGTTAAGAGTGACAGGTGCCCTATTCTTGGTACCTGTCCCAGAGAAGTCGTTGAACGTCATACCACTCCATCTTTGAATTTCCTCCACAGGCTTTTGTCGCCTCGTCTTATGAAGGGTCGCACCCCACATGTAGTCTAGCTGATTACAAAGAACAAGAAGAGATCAGTGAAAATGTTTATCACTCAAAATCAAGTTCGCTTGGAAAGTCTCGATATCTTACTTTGATAGGGTAAGCCACGTTGGTCTTCATTTGTGCGATTAAAGTAAAAGATGACAGTATGTCGAGGGCGCATTTATCAGTGACTGATGCAAGGTTTCTTGTAAAAAAGCGATTTATACTGACCAATTTGAAGTTTGAGTACGTCACGTTTCTGATTTGGAAGCGGATAAAGGCTTTTAATAGGAGTGCATCAGTTGAAGATATCTGTGGAAGTAAATTACCTGATAATCCCGCTAGCTCCCGGATAACTCTTGATAACAACCTTCAAGATGGGATTGTACATGGGTCAGTCATGCACAACCTTCAAGTCGGTAGTCAGAAAGTACACTCACCCCGTTTGCTCCATTGCTTACAGTGACATTGCGGTAGTCAAGGTTTTCAATACGGTAGTCCTTAGCAGTGGGACCCATGCTTCCGATTGCACAGCCTGAAGACGAAGAAAAGGTAGGAGTGATATATGTGCATAATTCAGCAAGTCATCCAACAAAACAGGAAATTGACTTTGATAGGCAGGTATTTTGATTCGGGTGTCCGGAGCTTACCGGTCGTACCGATACACTGTACATTTCTGACTTTTAGTCCAATTATGGGACTTTTGGCAGTAACACATCTGCGATCAAAGTTGGCTTTGTCAGTTAACCTCGCTATCCGGGATGATTTATCTGCGGTATGGTGAGAGCAACGTCACTGACTCGTCGCCATTTTCAACCACGACTGAGGAAGACAAAATACTGGTTTCAGTATAGCAAATCAAAGGTGCATATCCGAGGGAGCTGAAAGCCTCACCGTCATGTACATATCTGATACCGTTATAAGATTAAAGAGTTCAGACGCTACTCGTCAGTCTCACGTTTTCTACACAAAGTACACATGGGTTCAGCAAAGCACATTCTTACATATTTGAACCAGAGACGTTGATGCCATCCGTTGCTCCGATGTACAAACAGTGGATTTCAAAGTGGTGAATGCGAATGCTGTTTATTTAATGAAAAGATGAGTGCGGAGCTCAATTTCGACTAGAAAACGAAAACTGACTTTTTTCCATGAGAGAATACCAAGTCTAGATGTAGGAACACAGCATCAGTTGGTGATGTCTGCCAATGATGTATTTAGGCAACTCACGAAAAAGCGGGGCGTCGTACAAATCGACCTACAGATCAAGATTGAGAAAGTCCAATCATATGAGTGCATTTTTCTCAGATGTATTTAAAGGAAGAAAAAAGTTCGTACACCGGAATAATCAACAGTGTCACATCTTTCAAACCTTATCAGCCGCGGCCGGTTTGGGTGCAAATTGAGCTATGTTGAAAAAATTCAGCATATGCAGACGAGAGGATTGAAAGACTGATTTGCGCACGTTTCTTCCTGGTCGATAATTGTTGCCATTTCCATACAACCTACCATTGCCATTGAAGATAATCTTTAGGAAAATGTTTGATGAACGAATTATTTGTCGACTATTCATGGGCGGCACGTTGAGGTGACGAGTGAGCTTACATTGTTACAATTTGAAAATAGCATCATATGGCCCTCTAACTAGATTACAAAGACAGCAGGCGTTAGGAGCATTTGTAAAATTCCTCTATTCACTGATGCGCACCTTTGGATCATAAGGCATATAAAGACGCCCACGAATGGTGACAGTGATAAATTGGGACTTGGCAAAAACAACCTTGCTTGCCCATCTATAGTTTCCTGTTCATCGACTTTGTGAGCTCGAAATGTATGAGGGGGAGGCTAAATTGAATCAAACTTGAGTCTTTCGCACCTGGAGGGACAAGTATCACAGTATCAGCAGCCCGTTTTGTGATTGATTTTTGCGCACATTCAAATGCTTTCATCAAAGCCGGACCAATGTCGGTTCGATTGTTCGCCTTTTCATGCCAACATAAGTTTCAGCATTGATGAGAATGGATCAGATGCTCAGTAAAATCACTTACGACAGCGCCAAAGTCCATGACGTTACACGTCTTCTGAGCTGAGATATAGTGCAAGGTGAATAGGACAAGAAGAAAGATATATACGAATTGATGACTCATGGTCTTTCGGCTTTTCGGCTTTAGATGTCGACAAGCAATGATGTAGAAGGAAGTGGTGAAAAGACTGATAGGGTCAGTAGGCAATAATGAGGTATGATGGGAGATGGATGCCTTGTGAAACTCGAGAGGACGTCAAGCAAAGAGACTTGGGTTCGCATTATTCTTACTTTACAAGCCTTTCATTGCTAACGTGGTACACGGTTACTCCAAACGAGCAGAAGTGAGCATAGCGCACATTGCCAAGCATTTGACATTGGCTTCAATGATAAGAGTGCCTTGACGAGGACAAAGGTATCATAGACCTGGCCGTTGTTAGGTTCTTTTTTAGTTCTGTTCGTCAAGACTTTCATTTAAGCTTTAACTAAGCCCCTCGATAAATGCGAGTCTCCTAATTGATGGAAATACCTACTCCCTGTAGTCTTTGGATAGATGATAAACACCCAAGCCTGGGTACCCTGAGAAATCATGGCGTCTCATCGATGGTCAAATTGGCGACAACCCTGAGGTGGCAGCGATTCCAGAGTTGGATAATTACAAAATGCATCTGCATCTTCAAGTGAAGCGCCTTTGGACCTTCTCCTTTCTTGATTCACCTCTATGCTGCGGTTCATCACGAATTCGGACGCTTTGCGGCAGGGCGATCAAGCAGGATCAAGCTTTATGACATCTCGAATCTAAGCGACGATGGCGTGCTGTTGCGCCACCAAGCTCGATTTACGTGCTCTGAGATTCAGTACTGCACCCTTAATTCCCACCATTTCCGTGTCTGCGCATTCTTGATGAAAACATTCCCGATGAAAAGTGCTTGGAAGGGTACCGTCCTTCTGGTCGTCAGATTGAATCTCGAGCCTTGAAAAGAGCTTCGTCTCAGATATTTGCGTTCCTACCTACCTCTTTCACTCTCCTTATTTTCCATCTGCCTTTTTATTGACTACGCAGCTTTTCCTCATACTCAGTGGTCTTGTATTTTCAACTGAATAAAACCGATACAGCATGCTGTTCAAGTTCATTTCCACATCATTTTTCGTCCTATGCACACTTTACGCTGATGTCTCAGCTGTCAAAACTTGTAATGTCATGGATTTTGGAGCTGTGGTGAGTACGTGGACCAGATGACCTGTTCAATGTTGTAACTAACGTTGATTTTTCATGTCCGGAAAAGGCCGATAATCAAACCGACATTGGTCCGGCTCTGATGAAAGCATTTGGATGCGCTCAAAAGGCGATAACAACGAGGGCTTCTGACACCGTTATCCTTGTTCCTGCAGGTATGAAAAGCCAAGTTTGATTGAATCCCACTTCGGTTTTGGTTTTTGAATCCCCACATTGCCATCTCCGTTGTATTTTAGGAAACTACAAACTGGCAAGCAAGGTCGTTTTCGACAAGTCTAAATTTATCACCGTTACAGTTCTTGGCCATCTCTACATGCCTTATGATCCTAAGGTACGCACCACTGATACTGAAAAGCGATGTGAAGAATGCTCTTGACGCAGTGTTATTCTGTGAACAGTTGCAAGACAACATGGTATTGTTCTCGCATTGCAGCAACGTAAGCATTATCATCCACCCCTCGTACCAGGATGACATGAATATTCCGCTCAACAGATATTCCTCCATAGATCATCGTCAATGGAAACGGCAAGCTATACGGCAATGGGGATAGATATCGACCAGGTGGAAATGTTCGTATCAGACTCATCATAATCTCTTTTCTTGTCTTCAGAGACTGATATTTTGGGAGTGTTTGTTCAACTTTGCTCCGCAGCTCCACATGAACCCTAGACGACCTCGGCTGGTGCGATTTGACAAATGTGACACGGTCGATTACTCCGGGGTACAGATCATTTTCCCCTATCAGCTACGTCGCAAAACCGCTGATCTTCGAACATTGTGACTTTGCCTCCACAGCTCAGTTTGTACGACGCCCCGCTTTACCGTAAGCCGGCTGAAACCCAGAAAGCTTACACCGATCATTCGCTGATGTTGCTTTCCTACCTTCAGACTTGGTGATCTGGCTCGGGACAAAGTCAGTGTTCATGTTACAGCTCAGAATACTGATTATACGAAGAATATTAACATCTCAAATTCTGCACGGAACAAACAGCATCCGTATCCATGACTTCGAAATCCACAGTGCCAACATTGGGGCTACGGACGGAATTGACGTTGCTGGTTCAGACATGTAAGGCTATGCCTCCTGTAGAACACCTCCTTATTCCAACCTCGGGAAACTAAATTGTCGAATGTCGTCAATTGACCACTTTGTTAGATATGTGCACGATGGTAAGTTTTCAAACAGTCACCCAGCTTGCATACTTATGTTGAAAAGGTATTTTGAATTACACAGTCCTAGTGGAAAATGGAGATGAGTGAGTGAAATCATTGCCCCAGTCTCGGGTTCCGTCTTGATAAACAAGAGTGCTTTGGTTCTAGATGTGTTACCGCCAAGAGTCCGATTGTTGGACTGAAAGTCGAAAATTTGCAGTGTATCGGAGGTACCGGTCAGTGAATCCATTCGTCAATCATGATCGAAAGCTCTTGCTATGCGTAATTCTACTTTCAGCCTGTGGCCTGGTCACTGAACCATATATCCATGATAACTCGTTCATCAATCAACAGGTTGTGGAATTGGTAGCATGGGAGCCAGTGCCAAAAATTACCAAGTTGAAAATCTCAACTACCGTAACGTGACTGTGAACAATGCAGCAAATGGAGTGAATATATTTGTCAACTTTTCCACCTCGAGCGAAGTGATTGTATGCACCTCTTTATGGCTGACCCACACACGTTTCCGCATTTCAGATGATCATCAAGAGTTATCCGGGAGCTAGTGGCGTCATAAAGTGATTCATATTATTTGTCAAGTATTGTATTCAGTTGATGCTCAATTATCAACCATTTTTATCTCCATTACCACCAGGAACCTTACTTACTCGGACTTCAAATTGGTACGTATAACTTATTATAAGCCGCGAATTGATGACAAGCTCTAAGACTCGCTGACATCTACCCCCTCCATTTCCCCTCCACTTGAATCACCGCACTGTAGACCGACGTTGCTTATCCGATCAAGGTATGTGTTCAAAATTCAAATTCGGGCCTCCTTCTGTGATGAAGCCTTTTTAATTATATATCTTCTTCCCGCCTCGTCTAGTTGGACTACACCTGGGGCGCAACCCTAAAACCTCAGTTTACAAGGCGAAACAAGCGCAGTGAAGAAATTCAATCATGGTCTGATATCACTTTCAATAACTTCGTCGGAACAGGTAGTAAATATAGGGCACCTGTTACACTCAATTGCCCTACTCATTCTCCCTGCAGTGGTCTCAAGGTATTGTTCAAGAGTCATGTTTCTGTTCTGCAAAAAGTCATACTGAAATATACAATTATTTTCTCATTCTTACTCAAGTTCAATAACGTACAGATTACCGGATCAACCAAAGCCTCCATCATTACAAATGCATGTGGAACAGTTGATGCAATCAGTCGCAAAACAATCCCTAACTTAACAGCTTGCTGATGGATTGAAGTCTTTCCTTCATATTTTTTTCTGAAAGTTTAAATTTTCTTTCTACCTCACTTCTTCTGCGAAAAGTCAGTTGGATTCAATCTTTTTTCTATCTCACTCCTTCTGCGAAAAAGTCAGTTAGTTTCAATATTAGGACGTTATGTAAGGGACAGAGATCCAATTCAATTATCTTTCAAATACTCTTGTTCGATACATTTACCATGGACTGAAATTGGAGATTATAAGCTCTCTTTAGAGACAGTTTAGCCTTAGTCCCACATACCTCTAGCTTAATCCAAGCCCCGCCAACCGCGGCGTCCTTACGTCAAGCTGGCATACCTAGTTCTGATGAACAGACTTTGCGCATGATATACACAGCATACAAAAGATTAAATCTTCTTTTGTAATATCTAGGCACATGACACAGGAACCAAGAGGCAGATCACAAACAATGAGACTCAAAACAGAATAGATTCCACAATGCAAAGAGATCTAGAAGTGGGTGCAACAAGCATAGAGTCACCATCAGCCAGCCACTATTTTCAGAGAATCATCACTTCATGACTAAACCTCAGACTGATTACCCAAAAAGTGATAGGTATGCTTGGCATAAAAATAGCAAATTTCTCCCAGGTAGCCTCCCATTTTTTCGTACAAATTTAATCCTGGTCTATCAATTCACTTATCTATGGTCCTTATATGTTGACACTCCTTATCATAGATTCTTTCATCTGCATATGAATGTATCATACTTATTATCAAATACATCTTTTGGTCCAGGATTTCAGATGAAGTTGTTCAGACAAGACATCATAGACTAAGACTACGCGCTTATTGAGACCGGAGAAGGTCATGTGCTACATTCACTTCTACTGCGGCCTCATACAATCAAACATCCACTTCATAGAACTGCCAATGATTTTCAAGGATTGTAGTATACAGGTATTGAGGCATGTATCTATGCATGTCCCAAGCCTGCAATGCCATGGGATGAGCTGAACTATTCAAGCTCGTCCATTAGATGAGCAAGGATGATAAAATAGTCAACGAAAGAATAGACAACCAATCAGCTTGTGGGACCAGTAAGCAAAAGCTTTTCCTGTACCATTGTAAGAAATGATGTTGCAACCACTTGATTTAATGACGGCGAAGATCAAACAACGAAGATCAAACAAAAATGAACTTGAAAGATTTAGCCAGACCCAGTCCCCCAAAGCTGAATTGTGGTCCTCTTTCCAAATCCATTTTTCCTGACACTCAACTGCATCCACCGGTATTTTGAGCCGGTCTGATTGTCTCAGGATGACGTGACTGTTATAGACATTGGGTGGCATCTGGATCTTAGAAAATATCTTGCTCAGAACCACATCTCCATGCCATACACCAAGAAAACAAAGAGCCGAAAATCTTGCAAATAACCCGAATAAAATAGATCACGCTCTGGATTTGTAAGAGCCAGAATATGGTCTTCCTGCGGGCGGAGTTCAAAATCCTGTGCAGTAGTAGTGCTAATGTAGGTACTGTGAAGGTGTGAAGATTGTGCTAACAGTGATTGGTAGCGGTGGTATAGAATTATTGCTGTGGCACAGACTATTCGTTGGATAAACCAGTATCAAATGACCGTTCACAGTCTCGGCGAAAGCTGGAGAGACACGGAGCTGAGGAGAGGCTGCATACGATAGCTGCTTCAAACGGCTCTGATCACTGAGCAGCTCTTGAGGGTGTACAGCAATACATAGTTTGTAAGATGTCACATTAAAACGATCGGTGAATATTCACAAGCACATGTGTAATTTTGAATGCTTTGATTGGACGAAATCCTCCGACGCATACATGATAATTTGTGAGCGTTCTTCTGAGTTGGTATATATCCACTTGAATCATTGCAATCTAACTCTCCATCAAACAATCTCACCAAAACACTTGAAACGCGATTCATAACTTAAATCGTTCATTTCTAGTCTACTTTCATCACTTCTTCTCATTCAAACTGTCTTCCAAACCTCAAGTAGACCGATTCTCAAACTCTTTCAAATCCGCTCATACCCCGGCATTCAACAAATCTACATAATCCGAACAATCGAAGTCGGTTTCAGGATTCCTAAATCAACTTCCTTGATCTCACGAAGCTTTGACTTTGACTTTGCGCGTATATATACCTAGCTCGAAACTACTGGGCTTCTCTATCTTTTCAACGATCGGCCACTCAAAAGTTTATTGAACATCTCGAATCGTCATCTGACTGCCTTTGTCATCTTCAATCTTCACTTTGAGCTTCATTCACGACTTTGATCACTCTCGATCCAAGAAAGCCATCAACCTTTCAGTCGTCATCACAAGAATCGACTTGCTTATCTCTAGGCTCACTGGCCTTTGCCTCCACATCGAAACTCACTAGGCAATCTTCCTTGTGAGACTCGGATAGGATCTTTTCCACAGCCAATTTGCATCAAACGCAAGCCACAACTTCAAGACTCTCGTGTTAGGTAACTCGAGCTCAGACTTACTTTCAGATCTGGCGTGTAAGGGTGACTATCGCAAAATTAACGTCGTTCCTTGGGTGTATGAAAGACAATCAATCAAAGGTTTTTCCCTCAGTCGATAAAGTGAGTACCAATCAACTCATCCTCATCATCCATTTCTTCTCCTCAGATACACGGATCAAGAAAAGGCAACTTGCTGGCAGTACTTGCTTAGTTTCGGTGCTTTTATATCTCATTTTGATAAGATAACCTAACGACTGTTGAATCATCGAAGCACGTTACGAGTCAGATACTGATATATAGCATGTATTCATCTTCCAGGTCAAACCTTAATCGGACTTGTCCCTGCTGCCTGAGTGAAATCTCGGTGATCCGCTTCAAACCAATTTCACGCCTCGCCCACCTCACGTAATCAGCCTTCGATTCCCTCAGCATTCATCTAGCATCCAGGCAGGGTCAATAATCTTGGCTATCAGTCTACCTGTACGTATTTGTCTCAAAGTCAGACTTTTGGAGTTTCCTATCTGTTCCTTGGAGTCATGAATCTGAGTTTCGAAGATGAAAAGTCTGGCCGCCATGTGTCACTATCGCCGATTTGATATCAATATACAATCGGCGTGGGGTCACGAGTCCGAAAGTTATTTACGGGCCGATTGATCAAATTCATCAATTTATGCGATAGCTTCTATGGCATCCATCCTTGGTGGCCTTGGTGGACTGCTTCAATCCGCCATGCAAACAGTGTGTCACCTTTCGTACGCGTTTGGCTGGGTTCACGTGACAGCTCGGCTCGGCCCGATAATATCATATTTCCTGCTTATCTCTCAGGCTGTTGGGTGTTTCAGATTGAGTCCAATCAAACGATCAGTCAATTTGGCGGTGTTGTCAGCGCACAGGAGTCAAGTTTGGTTAACTCACCAGTTTTCTATTCATAAAAAACCTTTGAGGCAAACTTGGACCTATCAACTCCTAACCTATCTGTAGAAATATTGGCCGAGGAGATCCAAATCGGTGAACAATTTGGCTTCCTATTGATATTGGGAGCTGAATTGAGAGGTTATCAATGATCTCCACAAATTCATCAAATCGAGGATTGGGTTGAATCGTAATTAGACATGACTCAAGGTCAACTCGAAGGGCAGTCTGTCCATTGCATGATTAAAGATGCACCCATTTATGCGGTTTGGTGGAGTCTTGCAAACAGTGACTTGATTGAACGACTTGGATCGATTAAGTATTTTACTATTTATCCAAGATGAGGAGAGACCAGAGGTTGATTAAGGTGGAACTGAATGAGAAGAAATTGATTTAGTATCATCTCCGACTAACTTGAGTTCAATTCAAAACATCAATGAATGCATAGTTTGACGGATGTCTCTGATTTCATGTCAACTTCCATTTCCCTTTCCGCCCGATTTCTTCAAGACCTTGGTCCTTGATGCTACTTTAAACTCATCTTGATTCTTATCCTCATCACCATCTCTTGTCCTTCAGATTGCTTGGCTGATTGCTTCTATCACGCATCATGACCCTTACGCAGTTCTCGTTGCGCCTCTGAGTTTTGAATTTATCTAATATTGTTCTAAGCTCAAGAAATCGAGTTTTGTCTCTCTACACACCTTCAAACAATCTTTTACCCCACCTTTTCTTCTCATCCTACAACTCACCCAGATCCATCCCGTCTCTTCCCTCATTTTCCATTACTTCTTCATCCGTTGAATGGAATTGCTCCGAGACTGAGGTATACAAATTGGATGCGATCGATGTTTGGTTGAGACCAATTTATGCTGGTGTTGATCCATTGTTTGTTAAGTCTAGTCATTTAAGCAGTTGTCATCATCAGTCTTCTAGTTCACGTCTTCCCCTCCTATCTCTTGTTTAGACTTGTTCTTGTTACAAACGTCTCAGCTTCAGTCCCAGTTCATCAGCCTTGAACGCATTCCTATTTAAACATTTAACCGATCGATTTGAACTTTGCTTTAAATAAATACGATTGACTTTTGATTTCTTGAGTTTATATCCGTTGATCTGTACTGTATCTCTCTCTCTCTTATCACCTTTCCTTCTCAGTATCTTCTTTTCTTTCTTGCGTTTCTTCTCACTTGCGCTATCTTCCTTTTTTCTTCAAGCACATCTCAAAGATCCTTTCATTTCGTCCTGCTGCAACAAAACTGATTGTTTGATTCCTCTTTGTTCTTTTGTCTAACATACTCACTGGCACCCCTTCTGTCTATCAATATTCTTTTCTTATCCGTTTGGTCATCATATCACCTGTCCCTTCGAAATCGCACCTTTCAATCTGTGGACGACTTTGCTTTTTCTCATCATTCTTCTCTTGTTTTATTGTGGCACCATTTCTTGTCTGGATTTGCTTCTCGCTTTACTTGAATATAACTTCATCCGCTGCATTTTCGCCACCATCCATCTGCACCAACGCTTTGAACACTCACCGCTCGATCACATCCTCTATCTCTTCACATCGTTCTTGGCCTTTTTGCCGCCCGTCCCGGATCGCTTCACTCAATGGCACCACGATCTCCTCAACGTCGTTACCTTCCTCATCTTTCATCCGAACTGCTTGCACCCAAACGTCGACACTTACCTCCAGCCCCTCCATCTACAGCTTCATCATCCTCCACCACTACCCAACCCGATTCCACTTCGCCATCAATCCTACTCAGTCCACCACCTGATCCCAACATGGCTCCTTCCAAAGACAAACTGGTTGGCTCTCCCGGTGGAGCCAGCGAGGCCAGCTATGAGTCCGTCTTTACTGATGAAGAAGAAAAACCTAGTGACTATGACAAGGGTGGCTACCATCCTGTTAGGATTGGCGAAACCTTTAGCAATGGACGTTATCTGATTGTGAGGAAGCTAGGATGGGGACATTTTAGTACAGTCTGGCTGGCTAACGACACACAGTTCAGTCTACATTTCTTTCAGAAATATCTCACTCTCTCGTCTGCACGGCGGGGCTTCGACCGAAATATGTTCGCTGAGCCTCATGCCTTGTCCTTAGGTTAAATCGTCACGTTGCTCTCAAGGTTGTCAAATCAGCTCATCATTATACCGAAACTGCTGAGGATGAAATTCGATTACTTCAACGTGTAGTCTCATCAAACCCGCGTCACCCAGGCAGGCGTCACGTGGTCTCTCTTCTCGATCATTTTCGACACCAAGGTCCGAATGGTTCGCACGTCTGTATGGTCTTTGAAGTTTTAGGCGAGAATTTACTTGGGCTCATCAAGCGGTATCAATATCGAGGTGTGCCAGAGCACATTGTCCGACAAATATCTAAGCAGGTCCTTTTGGGCCTTGATTATCTTCATCGGGAATGTGGCATCATTCACACCGATCTTAAACCCGAAAATGTCTTGATCTGTATCGAAGATGTTGAAAGCGTGGTGCGAGCCGAGTTAGAAACCAGCCCGGCCGCGGTTCCGACTAAATTGGTAGGTGTGCCGCCCAGTCAGGGACGCGGTGGAGTACAGACTCCTAGAAATGGAATCTTCATCACCGGATCTCAACCATTACCGAGTCCATCCGGAAGCTTTGGCACAAGTCCGGTCATTGACAAACTAGCATTCCAGATGAGTAAAATCTCGGATCAGAACGCCGCAGCAGGCTCCAGCGGAGGGACCAAATCACCTCAGTCAGGTCACACGCCATTTCACAAAGTCGATACCGATCCAACATCCTCTCATCATCTGGGACCATCTCTTTTATCCAAGACTGCTCCTCAGCCCCACAAGTCATCCGGCAGTGGGGCCAATAGCGATAGCGACACTTCACATCTTCCCAATCACCACCATTCGGCCTCCACTCATCCTACTATTGATTATGCCAACCTCGCCCAAACTCCTGCAGGGGGCTCTCCAATGTCCACTTCTCCTCGCAATAAATCTTCGCCACCTAGTCCTTTACCTGTAGATCAAGATCGACCTGCTCCGGAAGCGGGTGACCCTAATACTTTACCTCCTCCCGCACCCTACGACCCTATGAGTCTCGAGCGGATAACGGTGAAGATTGCGGACTTGGGGAACGCGAGCTGGATCACAAATCATTTCACCGATGACATTCAAACAAGACAGTACCGCAGTCCTGAAGCGATCCTTGGTAGCAGTTGGGGCACACCTGTGGACGTTTGGAGTGCAAGTTGTATGGTGCGTAGCTCTGTTTTCTTGATACTGTTTTACAAAGAAGCGTATTGATTTCTTATGGTTGGTTTTATGGGTCTAGATTTTTGAGCTGTTGACAGGTGACTATCTGTTTAACCCGGATGCAGTCAGCAAACGTTATACAAAGGATGATGATCACATTGCCCAAATCATCGAGCTCGTTGGCCCTTTTCCCAAACACATCGCGCTCTCTGGCAGTTTTAGTTCTACAATATTTAACCGAAAAGGTATCGAATTGGTTTTGCTCAACGTCTCTCCAGAATCTGTTCAGATTGCTTAGTTGTTCCTTTGTTTTACTTTTTCGAACAGGGGAGCTACGGCATATTCACAAATTGAAGAATTGGCCGTTGGACTCAGTCTTGACTGATAAATATTGCATCGATAAAGAGCCAGCGGCTCAGTTAACTTCGTTTCTTCAACCTATGCTGCACGTTGTGCCTGATCAACGAGCCACGGCCAAAGAGATGCTAAGTCATAGCTGGCTGAAGGGTGTTGTTGTCATGGGTGAACTCGAGACTCAGTTATTAGAGCAGCAAGATAGAGATCGTCAAGAGAAGGGAGAGGCTCAGGTAGATCCAATCCTACCTGCAGCTCAATCACTGGGAAAACATCAGCTTGTGGCTCCACCTGGTGCTGCTAGTAATTCAACCGGGGACGAACTTGATTTCAGGATAGCACAGAAAGCACCAGCCGAAGTGAACGTGGTCGATCAGGTTGGTGCTTCGAAGCCTTTACCGGTCGGTTCATCTGAACATCAAACTCCACCACAATCTTCAACGATCACTAGGAATCATCTTGGATCCTCAACACCAGCCTCGAGTAGTTTGCGCACGAACAGTAGCATGTGTGGAAGTAGTGTAAAGAGTGTAGGAGTTGGGAGTGTAGCAAAGGGTACGCCTACTGGGAAAGCACCAGCATCAGTGGCTATCTCAGGTGTGATGGAATCATATGGAGCCGATCGAAGGAGTGGATCAGGTAGTCGTTCAACTTTGAAAGGTAATACTACTAACACTTCTGGAGGATCGAGGATGATGGGTAACATGAGTGCTGCTAGTCCTGTACCTAAGAAAAGTGTCGTAACAGAATCAACTCCTCAACCTCCAGGTGTATCACAATCAAGTACGAGTAGACATCAATCTCTTCAACAAAAAGTAGCATAAATGAAACAGATTGAGATTAAATGTGGATCGTAAAGTTAAGATGAAAATGAGATGATCATAAAGGAGAGAAAGAAATGATGAATTTTGTATGAACTTCAAGAATTTTAAAGTAGATTGGTATTATATACACTTGCTTGTTTTTTTTGTTTTGTTTTTTTTTCCTTTGTCTTTGAGTGTGTTTTTGATATGATATCGCTGTGTTTAATGGTTTTGTTTTGTTTTTGTTTTGATCTTTTTTTTTTTGATTTTTGATTTCAACTGTTGTTTGAATCAAAAATAAAAAAAAGATCAATCATAAGATTTTCTTTTCATTATTGCTAGCAAGTTTTTTCATATATATTTTTTGTTTGTTGTGGTTGAACTTGAAGAAGGCAGGGTGTTTTGAAAGTGATATGAAAAAAGAGAAGAAAGTGAATCAAGAGAAATGAGTCATCATTGTTTAATTCTTTTGATCTCTTTCTTTTTGTATTTGCCTTGTATAAGATCATAGGTATACATACATGATTGATGGATGGCTGGATGTATTCCTGAATCAATCTGTCTTATAATTTCTTGAAGTGTTTGTTGTAAGGTACTTGGTATTTTTGGATGTTCTTGGGTTTGTGGAGATGATCTTTGAGGTACATAATTCAATGAAAGCAGATAGCACTCACATAGGTAGAGCAGTAGAGATTGAGATATAGAGTATTGGAAAGGGAGGGAAATGTGATTGAACTGAGGTTTTATGATTGGTTTATTATATCTTTGATTAAATTTATACATTGTTTTCTTTGCTAGATCATTATGGTATCAATCTTTAGCTTCTTTGAAATATATATATAATGTGATAATTTGCTTTATTTGTTTTGGAAGTCAAATCTTTCTAGGAGATTTGGTGATTTGATCATCTGGCCTGTTGGGTAAAGTCCTCCACTCAATTCATCATAAAACATCTGCAATCTTTCCATTGACTTTGTAAGTTATTGAATCCCACTGAATGCTGGGCCTTGAGGAAGGCTGCAATGATCTCAATAAAAATATTTCAATCATGTCTTTTCCCGTTGATGTGTCCTTTACTGTGTCCTTTGCTGTGAATCTATGTCCTTGACCGCGGATGAAAAGCAATGACGTCATTCACATTTTATGCAAAGCAATCCATTCCAGACCTCTTTGCTTCTTTCCTCATGTATCGCAAGAAAAGAAGTACCTCTTTTTCCGCATCACTATCAGCGTAACTATCTTGTTGGTATCCCGATATATTATAAGTATTGGATCGCTTCCAGACTCCTCATATGATCAACACTGTTATAAATCCACTTTGCCTTACCTATTCGGTGTAGGTAAACAACCTTGAGGCGATGTCAAATTTTTCTATGAAGTTGCTCATGGGCCTCGTCTTGTCAGTCAAATAGCTCAAAATCCTTCAGAATAATGAATTGGTAAGAAAGACTCTCCAAGTTTTTGATCACACACACATAGAACCGATAGTCTTACAAACCTCCACAAAACAAAAACAGATTGAAGATCAAAACAAAGTACAGTCCAGCATGAAAAGACAACAAGAAAACAGTGAAACCCAAGCCACAGTAAATCATCAACGAACTCGAAAGTAAAAGAAAAAACAGAAACGTTCATATATTAAAGAAAAGTAAAGTAATACATCAAAAAGAGTAATGAAGATCAAATCCTAAACCAACTTAAACCCTATTGATTTTTTGATAAAAAGTTGACCCATTGAAATCTTACACTTTTCATCACCAAATCCTACAAAGAAATCCTACACACAATCTTTGAAATCAAGAAACGAAGAAAAATACGAAAAAATATTCAAAAACTAAACTCTGGATTGAAATCCATCATTTTCCTGGACATTTGGGAAGATGGACGTGAAGAGCTTCCGAAGACCTGACATGGATTCAAATCAATTTAAATAAACATGAAAGAAAATCCGAAAAGAGTAAAATAGACATTAGATCAGTCACGATTTTCTGGTGATAAAAAATAGAAAGAGTTGAAGGTCTCACCAATAATATCTCCATTGGCTACAGGTTAACATTTAAATGGTATTGGGAAAATTAAATATAGAGAGAAAGAGTATCAAATCCGGTAAGCTTGAGTAAATCTCCTTTATTTGCTTCATTGACGGACTAACCAGAATGGACAATACTGAAGAAAGATTTAAATAAAGCAGATCAAAATCAAAACAAAGGAAATCAGATTCCAAAAATAATAATTGCAACTTTCGATGTGAAGAAAGTTCATACCCAACGAGGTTGACCAGGCTTGGCTGGACTCGAGGCGTTAACGTGAGTAGATTGTTCAGAGGTGCACCTTGATAAAGAGAGAATTGAAATGATCAACACTTCTTCTTAAAGGAAAAATATGTATCTGAAGATGAAATTTCGAAAGCTAATGGAATATTTAAATCATCATTCATCTATAACCACGTACATGATATTATCACTTCCAAGCAATACTTTCAAATCTTTAAAATTACTCAAGCGTCGTCTTTGAAAAGGTATAATGGATTTGAAAGACCAAAAAAACAAAGAAGATTGGTTCGAAATGTAAAGGATCAAATAGACGAGGATCAAATGATGTTTAGGTAAAGAAGGCTTTGTTATTGTGGAGTTATGGAAAATTGTGGAGTTGTGGAAAAGAAAGAAAGACGGGGAAGTGAAGAAGAGAACATCGGTATTTATGCAAATCTCAAACGTCATGTGTGCATTTGAAGACTGCAAATCACGCGCAAAAACTTAAATTATCAATTTATCAATTCAAAGTGATATGGTGAAAGAGAGATCAATCAAGCCAATCAAATCAAATCAAAAGATAAGGAATACTTTAAAAAATCAGCTTGCATACTTGATAGAAAGCTTCAAATCGGCAATTTAGAAAGAAACTTGATTGTAATTCTATTCGGGATTATACCACAGCCTTCCAATTCACCACACATCCTTCGATCAATCAACCTCAACCCTGTCTCGTGATCTTTCAATAATGTCGTCATTCCTTTCAAAAAAACAAATTTGAACTTATCAATCAACTTCATCATGACCCACTCGATGATCTTCAAATATTACAAAGTTAGTCTACATATTGCGCAATCATTTCAATTCCACCAATCATTGAATTTCTTGCTGAACGCTTTCTATATACGCATATCACTCCATCTCGATTCAAATCCAATCAATCACTTACATATCTCTCAAATTCAATCTTATTCTACAATCCTTATCATTTTCAACTTCTCTATTCAATCTTCTCCATCATTTCTCTACATTCTTCTACATGAGGATTTTCAAGAAAACATCAAGGAGAGAGTCAAAATCATTTAAATTTGTACATGTATCTATGTACATATTACAATCAGCATCACATAAAGAAGTCGTGATTTGAAAAAAAATGGAATATGTACGTACACACTTCTTCGATTGCCTGCATTTGTTTATTTACATTTGAACTGATGAAATTCTGTTGGTTTTTTTTATCAAGATCACATTACATGAAGAAAATCTTTGGATGACAATAAAGTTAAGAGTGAAGTCTATATAATCAAGGATCGTCTTTCTACATCAATCATCTGGCTTCGAGGATCCGAATTTCTCATGGTCAGGTGCAGCAGATGGTCTTATGTCTTGGCGGAATTTGCAATCAGAAGTTGTGGTGTCAAACAACCGTCTTCTTTCAAACTATCTTGATCGTCAACCAAATTCATGCAGTCACTTCACAACATTTGATTCCACGATAAAACTGAGCTGGACTTCCGGGAGCTACATACACATGCTATCAGGGCATCGTGTTGATTTATGTTTTGAATCATAAAGGATACTCGGTCTTCTATCTATCTATCTACTTATCATCTATCTCTCTTGTGAGTTTGCTGTTCTTTTGTTGACATTTAATTGTTTCTATGATGATATGAAGTCAGCTTATCATTTTATGACGAGTTCAAAGAGGTACAAAGTCTGACGTATGATCACATTCAATGTTTCTTTTAACTAATTTATGTACTCATATCTTCTACTTCAAATCTTCAGAGTAAGACTACGTGGAGTTAATGAGTTTAAATTTTTTAAAAACGTGAGATCATCAAGCTCTAGAATAAAGTTAAAAAGCTAATCTTTACATGTAAATCCTGACTCCACAAATCCAACCCATCAGAAACTAAATCATAAAGCTTAAGCTTAAAATGAGACAAATTCTTTCGGTTTCTTTGTAATGATATCTATGTATAGTATAGGATATATACGCTGTGAATTAAGGGTTAATCCATGGTTTGATGCCGTAGATCACTTATCTGCGAGTTCAAGATAATAAAAAACATTGGTGCTATTTAAACATTGAATTCAAGTATTTTGCTTCACATTGAAAGTGTTTCACTTTCCTATCTACAAAAGTATCTCAATATCTTTCAACATGAACCTCCACTCGCGTTTCATTGATGGATTCTATTAAACAAAATACCTTCATTCAGTGACGCCAATGTATGTATGCGGGATTTGCCCTGAGGATATATGGTTCAACTCTCAACAAAAGTTTCTCTCTTGATTTCTTGTTGCATTCAATTACCACTTGATATATAATGAACATCAAAGGCGATTTGATCACTTGATCTAGATGTCAATCCTTGGACTCACAGGTCATCGAAATGGCTTCTCATTTTGGGTGAAATGTGATTCACGATATTCCTCAGATATCATCAAGATCGAATTGAATGGAAAAACTGCTGATATCCAATTTCAATATTTACTTGCAAAAGAAGATTGCCCTTTTACAAAGAAAAAAACAACTTATTCTTTAAATTCTAATTACAATTACAATTGATAATTTGATTTTGATTTTGATTCAATTTATTTAATGATTTTTTTGCCTTTTTAAAACCCTAGTCGATTACCAAACCTATGTTCAACTAAATATTCATTTCCACATTCATCATACAAAGCTTTAGTAATACCAGCTTGTTGAAACTCTTCTGTACTTGACCAACGTGACATTCCTTTCCAAGGTGAAAGTCTTAATTCTTCTGAAGTTTGATTAGCTCTAAACAAGCCTAATGGAGAAGAAGTAGGTAAGATTGGTCTAAGTGAATTCATCAATCTAAGATCAAAGTTAGGTAATAAGGTATGTCCACTGGTAATATAACAATGCTATAGATTCAAAATCAACAAATCAGATATAATTCCGATTGATAGTCTTTGAAAAACGGTTGAGGGTTCACTTACTGATGTTAATTTGTCTTGTATATCTTGACTAAACTCTTTGAGTACGTATTGGATGACTTCTACAAGTCCAGCATGATCAATTCCAGCCATATGAGGTTGATAAAGTGGTTCAGGTACTCTAATCCTTTCCACATTCATATGAAGTTGTGCATTTTGTTCCATATTGCCTTCAGTTTCTAATGCAGCTACGACCGTATTTGAATCATCATGACTAGGTGAGATACCTTTATAAAACGCATTTAAGAGTGAATTCTTTTTTAAATTTAATCTTTCATTCGTATGTTCAATTGTAAAGTTTTCATCATGTTCTAATAATTGTTTCTCAACAGATATAAGTTCCAAAATCTCATCTTCTTCATCTGCTGATTCATCCGCTCCCACCTACTCAAAAAGATCTTAATCAGCATACCTCCGATTACTGTTACTCTACGGATCGGTCAAAATAGTCGACCATACGTACCACATCCCGATACACAGCCCAATCAGCATCATCCGCCCCAAAGGTATCATCTGAATCATTTCCGCAAACAAACCGACAAGAATGAGTCCACTAAGTTCCTTGACCGGGTATCAAGACTATACATCACGTGTGAAACCAACCATTGACTTTCTTTCGCTTCTTGTTACCAGCTGGGGTCTTCTCTGGAACTTGGTCACTTGCCAAGGTAGCAATGGTTTTCATCCTTTGTTGTGCTGCATGCGACTTTCGATCTGATAGTTGTGATTTTCGCTTCTTTCTCTCTTTAATTTTTTGTAAAAGGCTCTAAAAGTTTTTGGTTGGGGTGACCTTTTAGTTCAAAGATTTCTATAGATTGGTTATATAGATGATCATGCGTACCTCATGCTGAGCTCTAACTTTTGCAAGCCATCCTTCTGGATTTGCTAATCTTGCTTCTGCATCTTTCCTCTGATCTTCTTCCTGTAAACATAAAGATTTGCAAACAAAAAAAGATAGATATCCTCAATACGACGATCTTCCATCAAGCAACAATTAAGTATAATTGAAGTACCGACCAGTCTTAGTTTCTCAGCTTCTCTTTCTGCTTTTGCTCGCTGGCGCGCATCGTGTCCAGCTTTCATCAACTTTTGACGTCGCTTCTCCTTCAAACCTTCTTCGTCCAAGGCGTGATCTGGGGTATCAATCAATGGGAAAGATGGTTCTCCCTGAAGACACGAATTCATCATATAGCAAGATAATCAATCAATGATACAAGAATCGAAAAATTGTTCAAAGGAGATAGGAAAGTAGAGTTTAATAATCTGACATACCTTATCTGCTTCTTCTTCAATACCTAAATCTTTATTACGAGCTTTTTTCAATTGGAATTGAGTTTTCTTTACAAGTGCATCTAATTCTTCTTCATTTTCAAATCCTTCTAATGATAATCTTTCTAAATATTTAGCTTTACTTTCTTTAGTTTTCCAAGCTTGAAGTTCAAAAAAAGCTTCTAAATCTGCTTCTTTTTGTATTAACTATAAACCAATTCAAAGAAACAGATTTTAGCTTGATAGGTACCAATTATATGGAGAGAGATATTTTTTTGTACCTTTTCCATTCGGATTCTGGCGGTTTGTTCTTGTAGTCTTAGTCCTGCTGCCCTCTTCTTCTCGGCTTGAACTGCTAATTCTTCTTCTGTCTTTTCTACCACTTCCTGTAAAGACATACCAGTTCGATATAAATTGATTATAGTCAATTTATGCAGTGATTTTTTTTGAAACAATGACAAAATTACTTACCACAGAATTAAAAGGGAACTGGATCACTCGATTAATTTCAGCTAAAGAATCAGGATCTTGAAGTTTTTTAATTTCATCAGAAAAAGAAGTTGAAAATAAACAATGATCTTGAACCAAATCAAAAGCTTGAAAAGAGGTCATCCTAGAAGGAAAAGTGGAATATTTAAGTTGCATTAATCTTAAAAAGAATTCACTTTCTTGTAAACCACCCCAATTTAATCGACGAGATTGAGCTACATGTGGGATTCCTGAGATGATGGGTATGACTGTTGTACTTGAATGTGATGATGAAATTATTAGTGAGGTTTGTTCTTCGAGTGGTAAATCATAATGTGTGTCATGATATGAGAATAATGAATCGATTCCATAACAGACTGATGGGACTTGATAAGTCTCAAACAAAAGTTCGGACATGACTGAAAATATCATAAGTTCAAAAGGAAAACACTCTTGGTCAACTTGTTCAGATAGATTCGACCAGCTTGAGTATAAGACGAATAACTTACGTCCTCGAGTATAGACTGGATTACAAAGAGTTTCACTCATCAAGATTGGATGATGGACTGCGTCACCAGAGACCCCGAGCTTCAAAAAAATGTAATCTAGCATCCCTTCCTTCGACGGAGATGTGATATCAAAGTAAAAAAATCGAACCAGTTCGTCAGATCCATCGTTTCGCACGGTTCAATAATTTGTGTACATCTGGCATGGTCAGCATCGATAGATTATCGCAACCTCGCGTCGTCGAGTGAAGCGGACATATCACGCGAGGTGAACTTTATCCTCTATCAACGAACGAGCCAAAACTCTGAGTAGGGAGTGATTACCCATCTAGAGCCATAAGAGGAATCATCCGTACCATGCTATCATAATTACACACTAAACCTTCTTCATGAATTGGTCTGATGTTAGATCTTGATGCTGCATCAACGTAAGACTCTGATCCAGCCAAGGTGATCGTTCGATTCGTTTTACGATCTCGATACCTCGAAATCACATTATCAATATTCAGATAGGGTTTCTCCATCGTTGAATATCCAGCACGAAGTGAGCAAGATCCTATAATAACATAAAATCGAAACGATCAGAACAAGGTCTCAATTCATTTTGTCGCAATTTGAAGATTGCAAAAGAGCTTCGAACCATTGTCAATGACGATCGGCACAGAATCTGTCGCGTATTGAGATTGATAGACCTCTGGTTCTAAATAAGGTGGTGCGAAGGTTTGAGCGCGTTCGGGTACTTTGTAAACTGTTGTTCTGGGCTTTGAAGGATCGATGATCGGAACAGTAGGAGTGTTAGGATCGAATTTCAAAAGTAAACGAGATGACATGTTTTGAGTTTTGAGAGTGAAAATGATGAGTGAGTCAGAGGGAATGTTAAATTGCCGAGGACCGTTGACTCTGCTCACTTCGATCGTCCCTTGGAGTGGGCTAGGTTTGAATTCCGAGATCGACCTAGGTAAGGAAAGCAGCAGCCTCGGCAAGAAGAGTATGACTGAAAAACTGCAACCTGTCTCAATAGTTCCATCCTGGCTCATCCTTCTCTTGCTATAGCACCTCATCGAACTTAATCTCTTGACTTTACCCCTCGACCATTCAGGAGATACGATTTCAAAGCATCACGCCAAAGCCCATCAGACTCGCTCACTTCAACTTGTCTCGAGTAAAAATGAGCATGGATGATATATGACTAGCTCGTGATACCCAGCTGGCTCGAGCTCCCTCGCATTGCAACCTGTTACATTTATTTGTCACGCCGCAAGACTTCACTTGATTTGCCGATTTGCCTCACTTGTTGTAAATTTATCTCGTACATCTGGGTCGTCGCAAAACAAAATTGCAAAATGCATACTCGCCTTGCCATCAAAGGTGGTTTTTTCACATCTGACGACTCCTGATTGTCGGGCTCTAGCGTGATTTGACCTTGACCCGCTAGCACACTGGGGACCAATTTGACGGATCATTAGGCCTGTTAACAGTCTCCAACACGAACAACGTAAAGCCTTTTTCTTTGATAGTCAGTGATTGAGATCTCCAGGCTTTGCGCGGTGGATGCATGTACCTCAACAATGTATCAAGTACTCCTGCAATTGCTAGAATCCAATCCTGGGTAATTCTTAGAGGGATCAATACTTCTGGGAAAGACTATCCATTCATTGATGCAGTCCTTGGTCATGCATCAAGGTGGCTGTTTGATCAAGTCCAACTTTGATCTGAAGAGTCTGCATCACACATCTGACAAAGTTAGATTCATTGGCTGAGTTGATCACTGTGATGTATGACTAGAAAACATCATCCAGAAGTAATGTAGGAAGCATGCAAACAAACCTACCCTTGATGTTTCAATGATACTGCTCAAGATTGTGCTATGATCTTAAGTGTGCACTGGACGTGGTGCCCAAGAATTTAGGGATCCCTGAGTCACCTCTCCACCTCTCAAGGTTTGAGCAAACACTCCAAGATCACCTCACTTTATAACTCTAATCCATTCTATCTTGCTTCGATTCCACTGTTTCAATACTTGGGAGTCATGGGTGATTGTCAGGATTCTTGTGTGAACTTCAACTGTTTTGCATTCTCTTTCCTTATGTATGATCACTTGGATACTAGATGAAAAATCATGCAAGAAAAGAACAGAAAGATTTAAAAGGTCATCATATGACTGAATGAGTACCTGTGTTGGAGAGATAGTTGAAGTGGTGGCTCCAATTTTTGAGACAAGCTCAGACTTCAAGAAGTTTCACTTTGTGCTGAGATTTTGACATTACATGAGATGATCAAGGCACAAGCAACTTACACCTTACTGGATCATTTTTGGTGTTACATGGGCTGACACAATATCAGAGGAGAACTGTTATCATATACTGTTTACAACATTGTACCACTCCCAACTTTCTAGAAGAAAGTTAAGGGTGTCCAGCCTCCACTTTTTGTATTCTTTTGTTTCTGTTATCTTTTTTGATAGCTTAATGTATTCTTTGACTGCAAACTTTTTAGTTTGAGGTTTGGGAGAGAAACTGATATTACATTTCAACTAGATGTGATAGATCAATTTTTGGTTTGAATTTGAAAGTTTACTTGACTGTGGAATGTTAAGCCAACAATGAAACATTAAAAAACCGAAAAACTGAATCAACAGAAGGTGAGAGAAAAAGCAGGCACTCAAGGTTTACAGTCAATGATGAGAAGTAGGCTGTGAAGATAATGATGCACAGCATTCCTCTGCTGATTGTTTCCACCTATCACCAGAAAAAATTGGGGTGATATGTGTGTGTGGATCATGCCTTGGTTGTTGCTTGTAAAGGGCAAATAGGTATACAACAGACTTATTCAAGACTTGGGCAAGCCATATCTTTGACTAGACAGCTAAAGGGTCTTGATATTTATGACATAAAATCACTTGATTTAGGGTACAGTCATGGTTGGAGCCTTTGTACTGACTTACTTTACAAGGGGGCAAATCTTGATATTTCCTTTCAAGGATCCATGGGTATTTGATTCAGTCCTTGATGTACAAATTCTACCATTTGATCAAAAAATACTGATCTTGGTTTCTGGTGAGCAACCTGGAGGATTACCATCTACCTTGGATATGTCTTCAAAGGACACCTTCTTCAGACCCAAAAGTTGAGTTGCAAGTTATGCAGAATGTGTGTGTGTATTGGTACAAAAAAATGTCACAAGAGTGGCTAGACTAGGGTTCTAGAACACAAAGGAGATCAAATACACTCTACCATACTAAACCCAAAAATTCTGTGAAGCTAGGTATGGAAGGAGTAGAAAAAGACAAAAACTTGAGAAACAGGATTTGATTGTTGAGAGATTTATCCAAGTTGTTTGCATTTTTATCACCAAGACCAAAAACCATGCCCAGAATCTCAAAATCCCAGGTGTCTTGAGTGAAGAAAAATGATGATTTTGTATAAGAAGAGATAGTCTTCTACTACCTACTTGGAACTAGCAGATATGATTCAACTGTCACAAATACACATCTGCCCCAGAATCTTCCTGCTTGTGATCATCTCTGATTATACTAGACTTGACAGGCTGCCTGTGCACCTTGAAGAAGGAAAATGCAAGTTTCCAAGACCGATTTTTGCATATGCTAATACAATCAACAATTCATAGGAATTCATGTTGTAGAATTGATACTCAAGTTTGTAATGATTCAGATGACTAACCATATTGCCACAATAAAAAGAGATAATTTCTTCCGGTTTCACCCAAATATGTTCAATCCTGGTGTGACCCAAGTGGTGTTATTCAAGTTGGCCAAGAAGTGCCTGGAATTCTATGCACTTTGGCATCTCAACTTTACAAAAATTTATTTTTTGAAAAAGAAAATTGCTAGCTGGGCTGTACTTCTCAGGTGGGGCTTTCTGATAGTATTTTCAAAATTTAACTCTTATCTTGATGTAGGGACAGTTGCATTTTAGGCAGACTTCCAACTTGAACCCCACTATTGGGCAAAACAAGCTACCACTCAGAGGGAATGCAATACAGGAACAACAATAGGGAGATACCACTAAGCCCGGATAACGGCCAAGTTACCCAGAGCTGCAGACCTGACCAGGAGTCCATTTAGATGGCATAGTAAGTGGCTGTCTTTAATGTTGACAAAACAGAGAGGTTGTTGGTGAGAGGAAGGAGATATGAAGAGGTTTTGGTGTGAGTCAGAGGGAGTCTGTATTGTCAGAGCACAAGCTCAGAATTTGTGCTCAGGTTTCATTTGTTGGACATTTCAAACATCAATCATGGTTTTATGTAGGTAACCATAGCATGACACATGCATTCTAACTTAAATCTTCAACAGATCCCAAATTCAAAAAGCACTCTAAGAGTGGGTTTATAAACTACTAAGAACACACAAAAACAAGGTATCCTGTGCCTGTTCCCTAATTATGATTGAGGACACAATGAAATCATGTTGGGAAGTAATTTGCAATTGATTTGTTTTCACAAGATGGATGACAGTCAATCTTAGTCAATTAAAGTACATACACTATGTTGTCCATTGTTGGTTGGGCATCGTGTACCTTTCACTCATCATTGCCCTGCACATCATCAAAGTACAGCTGGTCCAATAATGGCTGATTTTGAATCTGCACCCCAACCCAAAAAAAAACAGGTAGTGGCCTGGCCACACCCCAACCTGTTGGATGGACAGCCCCCCTGTCCACAAAATCAGCCACAATGTAATCAATCTTCCTGGGCTCCCCCTCCCACAAACCTGATTGACCAAGTGAAACACAAAATATGTGGAGCCCCAAAAGGCCCACGGGTTTACCCAGTGGCCCCCTCTCACAATGCTTATGTCTCCCTCCATTTTTTTCAAAAAAGTATAGAAGTTTGATAAATCATAATCAAATCTTACTAAACTACCAAATACAAAGCTATACACACTGATCTGTTGACTAGGAGCAAGGTCCTCATCTTCCCTGTGGTACGTCTTTGTTTAGGTTTGTTTCAAACAAATCTGCTTTGTATTATCATTGAATGGTACAAATTTTTCTGGTTCTCAATTCTATTCTGTGATATATCAATTAATCATGTATCATTCCCTTCAACAATTTGCTTGAAACAAATTGATGTGATATCCTGGATGACAGAGTTGACGCCAGCAGTGGCATTGGCAAGACTGCTCAAATCATTGATAGCTAAAAGCAAGGTCTCAAGCAAATTATTATTGAGTTGATAAATTGAGCAAGAAACATTGCATGAATATTGTACCCATCACAGAAGACAATGTGGGATCTATACTGACTTCACCTTTCATTATGTTTGAAAATCCTATGCTTGATTTTGAAGGTTTGAGTCTATCAAAAGCAGAGTGGACGCAAGTACTCAGCTTATTCTTGTCTTCACAAAAACCCATGGTGATTAATGGTGATCTTAAGGAAAAAGTAGATTGTTATTGTGATCACTGTGAGAACCTATGGATAGGGAAATCCAACAAGAATTGTTTGAGAAAAAGAAGAGCAAGCAAAGTAAGACAAGAAAGTACAGCAAGGAATGAGGCTGCTTTGAGAACAATGCAAGGTCAGTGTAGGATTTTTAAGTGCACAGTCAGATTGATGAAGACAAAGATTGATTGATTTTTTCTTTTTCTTTGCTCATTTTTATCAATTTCCTACTTCTTTTTGAAAAATCTCTGTCTTTGTCACCCTTGAAATTATTTCAAATGAATCTGTCTGGTCACCAAAACGGGGTAACTTGTACATATGCCCCTGTTGGGCCCCCCAATTTCCAAAAGCCAAAATATCATGGCCAAAACCGCGCCCTGTGGGTCCGGGGTCCAGGGTCCAGGGCTCAGGCTGAGTTGATTTATCTCTTTGAAAATTCCCTCCCATGCAAAACTCATACTTTTGTATTTTTGCAGTTTTTTCTTTTCACAAAGTGAAGCAATATGCAAGGAAGATGATCCTCCAATGACAATGATGTGTCCTTGTTGTCAGAGCAAAAGCTCAGCATCTGGGATCCAACCACAAAGAAAGATGTGGAAGGCCTCAGGAGCTGGAGCATGACAGCAACGTTGGGCCGGTGCGTTGCTTCCAGCGCGCAACGCGCCGCAACGTCCAGCAACGGCAAAACCCGGCAACGCAAAGCAGCGCAACGGGTTTTACATTTGCCCGGTGCGTTGCTCACCGGGGAGTAGGTTATCACCCCGTTGCGTTGCCTTTGCGGCCCCGTTGTGAGCAACGCAACTGTGCAACGGGCAACAGGGCCTGCCCGGCAAGTAGTTCAGAATTTCACATCCTCGAGCTACATCTGAATTCCGATCGCATATGGTCGTCGACTCAATCTAACCGATCACCTCCCCTTGCGTCACATCCACTTGGAACTATGGCCGCCTATTACAGCAAGTTCCTTCCCTTTTGGGGCCAGATACTCAGCGCCTCAGGCAACCTCGAATCAATCCAGCACGAGGAGGACGAATCATGTTTAATCGACTTGAGTCTCAGCTCAATATTCATTCCGAACTTCAAGTCCAACTTCCCCACCATCACATCCTTCCACTATACAGATTCCAAGTTTTTACAAACTGTGTTCGATAATTCTCACTCGTCTCTCATTATCAATCTTCAACCATTCGGTTGTCTTCAGTCACATCACCATTTAAACTTAGTTATCTGCCGTTTTCACTTCATTCTCAATTTCGATTGTCTCCTTTATTACTTGTTGGTCATGGCCAGCAGCCCAGAGTCAGATTCCCATTCCGATGTCTCAATCTCGTCAATGCCTGTATCTTCTACACCTGCTCGTCGCTCATCAAGGCTCCCAACACCTTGAAAGAGCTTACCCGGAATGGTTCAGCCTTCCGCTGATAGTCGACTCACCATTCCTCTACCGCAAGCAAGTGCTTTCGCCTCTCAAAAGAAGAAATCTTCAAAACAACCCGATTTACAATCAAGTCCCCCCCCTTCACAACCACAACCAGCACCCCGAAAGAAGCAAAAACAACCGGCTTCGCAATCCAAGGCTTCACAGGTAAGCAATGTTTTGATTAAATTCACGATAACCGAAAGAAACAAAGCTAATATGTATTAATCTTATAGCCACCTCCAGATGATGCACCATCTGAAGCCGAGATGGATCAAGATTCAGATCACGGTCTAACAGATCGACAGAAAGCCAAAAAGGCTAAGGTTCTCGAAGTTGATGATGGTTCAGGTGAAGAGCCGGATTACGCTCCTGTGTTGGATTATTTTGGGACACCTGTTCACAAAGATGGCGAGGTAAGACGTTCATATTTATAACACTAAATAGGAGGGTACTTTACTAACTTTGATATGTTGTTAGGATAAATCGAAGAAGCCCTTAGGTTGGCCTTGTCTATGGTGCAAGAAAATCATCCGTGTGGTTCCTGATTCTTTGAATAACCTCAAGATTCATCGTGATGGATACAACAAAGGACGTATCCGATATCCATGTAAAGCTCGGAAGGAAGCCATCAAAAGTGGCATCCTTCTTCCTCCAACTTGTTACAAACTCGAAGCGGCTGCTGCTACAACATCAACTACTCAACAACATATGCCCGACTTTTTCATCAACAAGCTCCCCTTCAAAAACGAAGTACTGAACCAGTTATTGGCTGTCTGGATTCTCGCAGAGGCCTTGCCTTGGAATCACATCGAGGATTCCTTACTCAGAATTGCCTTCCGGTATGCTCGACGTGATGCAAAAATATTCGGACGCACTTGGGTAGCTAGGGAAGCCGCTGGCATGTACTTATCGTTCCAAGACACTGTGTTGAAAGAAATAAAGGTAAGTACTTTCATGCTATTAAAATCTATTCGATGTTTTTGACCATTTTGACTGTTTCTCAGAACAATACCAGCCGATTTACTTTGATACATGACGGCTGGACGACGCACAACAATATTCACGCGTTCTTAGGCGCTGCGGTTACCTTCATAGACGACAATTGGAATTATCAGGTCCGACATCTCACTTTGAAGTTGATTGCCTGGAATCACAAGGGAGTGTGGCTTGCACAGCCTTTGGTCCACTTCATGAAGAAGCATCAACTTCAATACAAGATAAGTTCTTTCAGTTTGATTTCTTTTTTAATGTGAATGTGATTAACTTACCTTTTCCCATTATCCACATGCTTGCGCAGGTGACAGACTCCGGTTCCAATAACATTACCATGGCAAACGAAATGCACACACAGTTTTTGCTGCACGAGGAAGAAAAACTCAATTCGAACGAGCTCGGAGACGAAAGCGCATCTCCTTCGCAGGAGCTATCTTACAATTGGAATCCGAGCACGGACTATGCCAGGTGCTTTCTGCACAAGGTTTCCTCAACGGTCAAAGGCGAGGTTGGAGGAGCTTGGACGTACCTGTTAAGATATTCTATCTTGATGAGTGTGGTCAAAGATCATTTCCTGTTTTGGTAAGTGTGATGGATAAGAATGGAGGTGGTAAATGGTTCTGTAGTGGTTGTATGTGATGCAAGACTTAGCAGCAAATCTGATGGTTAACAAAGGGGCTAATGCATGGAAGTTGAATCAAGGGATGCGGCTGGATTTCTTTGGGGGTTTCCTTCTCTATTTGTAATTCTCTCTTTCCTCTTTTCTGATTCTTTTTGTGTCGAAAAGAATCAGTGAGTTTTTCATCTTTCAATTCAGATTTTGATCATACTGTTAACTGATATCAATACTGTCATCTTAGAAACTTTTTTATTGTTTCCTGTTCATCTTTCCTTACGCGCTCTTCTTTTATTTCGAGCTCGCAGGTAGATAGAAGTCCATCTACTAGATTCCAATTTGTCTCTTTTATCTGATAAGCTTTACTTTTTCACTTTGTTCTTTTGTTTGTGGTCTGTTAGGTTAGTTTCCTGTTCTCGTCGTTGACTAGCAGACAAGCTTTAGTCTGACGCGGAACCTGTGCCCTCAGGTGTGTGGTGTCGAAAAGAATCAAAACTTTTTTATTGTTTCCTGTTCATCTTTCCTTACGCGCTCTTCTTTTATTTCGAGCTCGCAGGTTAGTTTCCTGTTCTCGTCGTTGACTAGCAGACAAGCTTTAGTCTGACGCGGAACCTGTGCCCTCAGGTTAGTTTCCTGTTCTTGTCGTTGACTAGCAGACAAGCTTTAGTCTGACGCGGAACCTGTGCCCTCAGGTATCCTTTTTCGTACTATTGCATTGTCTAGCGGTGAAGTCATCTCAAGACTCTTTTTAGATTCTTGTGTTCTGTTCCGTCGAGAACTTTATATGGTAGCGAGAGTGCATACGATCTTATTGACCACGTTGCTTGTATGAGTTCTGAAGAAATTGATCAATCCATCCTCGACGATTCTCAGGATCATTCTACTGTTACCGGAGGCTCAAGCACCTCGAGTACCACCGATTCCTTTGGAACGGTTAAACAATTTTCGGATTCTGTCTCACTGAACGATCAAGTGAATCCTCCTCGGAACCCAGAATCATATTCTAATGTCAACATGTCGGAAAATGTCGAATCAAAAGTGTTCGGTGATGCCATTCAGAAGTATTCTCAAATCATGACGAATGCTTTGAGCAAGTACAAAGTTTCTGATGACCTGACTGATGATAACTACATCGAGTGGAGTCAGTCAGTGATGGAGGTGTTAAGATCCTTAGAATTCCATCACTATGTCAAGGTCAACAACTATCGGAAGCAGTCTCTCTCAGCTGAGGAACACGAAAAGACGAGGTTCAACCTAACCACCTTTATCTTAAACCGATTGGACTCGGTTAATCAAGTTAGAACTAGAAATCGACTTACCGACCCTTCAGATCCCTCTGAACTTATCTATGATCCTTTCTTATGCTGGTCTTTCCTCAAGGAGTATCATAATCGCATCTCCGAGGACAAACTTGAAGCTGTCACTAAAGCTCTTTACTCCTGTCAAATCTCAAAGTCCGATACTCTCACTGCTTTCGTTGATAAGTTCGAAAATCTTGTCCGGGAGTTTTATCGCCTGAAGGGCGAACTGTCAGATGCTCAGTCCGCGAGGATGCTGATTAGCGCTATTCCCTCTCTATCGATCGAGATCAAAGAATACATTCATAATACCGTGAATCCTTTGACTCGAGACGGTGTGGCCTCCTACCTTAGAAAATATGAAGATCGCCACGGATGGACCTGTGCTGCTATCAGAGAAGTCAATGCTGTATCGGTTCGACCTAGTAAGAAAGTCAGTGGCGAATGCTCTCCTGAAGAATGTGTTGGTCCTCACTTGGCTAAAAACTGCTGGTCAAAACCAGAGAATGCCGACAAACGACTTGCTTACCTGGCTAAAATTCGAGGAAAGTCTGGGGGTGGAACCTCATCTTCGTCTTCACATTCGTCTGCTCCAATCACTCAGGCTTTGTCTGTAAGGGGTGTGAAGAAGGTCTTCGACTCGAATGTCAACAACGCATCTGCGAGTATGGCCTTTCTGTCGCTTAATGTAGAGTTCGCCGAAGATACAACTGAAACTCCGGATGAATCTCAAGCCTGGGCATCTCCGTCTGAATTCGACGAAGACCCGTTGGTCAATGCATTGGTCTCCGCGGCTCTTTCTTCATCTCGAGACTGGGCGCTCCATGACACTGGAGCGACCCATCACATGTTCAGAGACCTCAAGTTCTTTGATCAAGATTCCCTTGTAAAAATCAAAGACGTCAGCAAACGCCTGAAACTGGCTGGAGGAGATGTGTCATTAGCGGTCCACAGTAGAGGAGTAACTAAGTTGTTAGCTGGAGATGAATCTGTTTTCGAACTGAAGAATTGTCTCTACGTACCTGAACTTTCAAGGAACCTTGTTGCTGGTGGTTTACTCAAGAAGCTTGGTGTTCGAGAAATTTTCCACGACTCTAAAAATTTTTCACTAGTTTTGAATGATCTCGCAATTTTTAACGGTTTCATTTCAGATAATAATCTCATGTTCATCTTACTCAAACCAGTGAGTGGATCTCACTCTTCATCGACTCCCGCTTCAGCCTCGGTCACTGAGATATCTTCGTCTCTTCAACATCGTCGATTAGGCCATGTTAGCAACAAGTACCTGAAACTCATGGCCAAACTCGAAAGTGTGGATGAATTTGTATACTCAGAAGAAGATCTAAAGTGTGATATTTGTTGTCTCTCTAAAAATACCAAACTTCCCCACAATAAAACTCGACCTCGTGCGCGTACCTTCCTAGAAAATGTCCATGTAGACTTGAGTGGTATTATAAGAACAACTGGCTTAAACAATGAAAACTACTTTATCCTGTTTTGTGACGATTACTCGGCTTTTCGCCATATCTATCCGCTCCATGATAAAACCAAGGAAGAAGTTTTCGAGGCGTTTATGTCTTACATCGCGCTTGCCGAAAGACAGACGGGATGTACTCTCAAACAATTTACCTTGGACCGAGGAAGTGAATTCCTCAACAACCTACTTGGTCCAAAGCTTAAGGAGTTGGGTATTATTCTTCATTTGACCTCAGGCCACGCTCCTGAGGAGAATGGTGTTTCCGAACGTGGTATGCGAATTATCAATACCAGGGCCCGTTCGATGATGCTTGAATCAGCATTGCCAATACGATTTTGGTATTTTGCGTGCAGTGCGGCTGTCTTTCTGACAAACCGTTGTATCACTGCAGCGCTGGATGGTGGAAAGACACCTTTTGAGGTCTGGTATTACAGAAAACCGTCCGTAAATCATATTCGGGTGTTTGGATGCCAAGCTTTTGGTTTGATCCGTAAAGAACTTCGCCAATCGAAATTCTCGCCAGTTAGTTCAGAAGGTGTTTTGATAGGCTATGAAGATGACAATTTCAACTATAAACTCTTTGACTTATCTTCAAGAAAAATCTATATAACTCATCATGCGACTTTCAATGAAGATATATTTCCTTTTGATTCTCTGCCTTCAAGTATTGTTTCAGAACCTCCTAAACGCTCGGTCAAAGTTCATTTTTTTGATGATGATGACGATCTGTTGGATGTCACCGACTTCGTTGAGAAGTCAGTACCAATTGACAACAATTCAGTCAGCAGTTCACAGGAGCCACGAACCACTTCATCAAGTCAAAAGCCAGTTGAAGTTCCGCGGCGTTCTAACCGGATGTCTAAGAAGATTCATGACACTCTGAGCGGAATGTGTTCAGGAGCCGAATTCAATGATGATTTCATTACAGAGTCATTTTTTTTGTGTCTTCCTGCAGAGTGTAATCTTGTCGACGTTTTTGCTACTCCAGATCCGAAATCTTATAAGAGGGCAATGGCATCAGCGGATGCTGATCGGTGGAGGATAGCATGTGATAAGGAGTTTGATTCACTTAGAAAGAAGGAAGTCTGGGAGCTGGTGGATCGTCCTAAATACCGTAATGTCATATGTGGGTTGTGGATTTTTAGGAAGAAGTTTTTGGTAGATGGCAGTGTTAAATTTAAGGCTCGTTTCGTTGCGATGGGTAACACGCAGATTCCTGGACAGGATTATGGTGAGACTTTTGCTCCAACCGGAAAACCTGGCTCTCTTCGTCTTTTAATCGCCATAGCTAGTATCAATGGCTGGGAAGTGCACCAAATGGATGCTGTGACGGCGTTTCTAAATGGTATTTTGGAGGAAGAGCTTTATGTGGAGATTCCGGAAGGGTATCGTACTGCGTCCACCATTGGAAAAGTCTGGAGGATGAAGAGATCGTTGTACGGATTCAAACAGTCACCGAAGATCTGGCAAGATGATGTCGAAAGCTTTCTCATTGAAGTCGGTTTTGAGCAATGTGAAATTGATCATTGTATTTATACTCGGTCTGCTGGAAATCTGTTTACAGCTGTGTACGTTCATGTCGACGACTTGGCCATCACTGGCAATGATATCTCAACTTTCAAATCTCAAATTGCCTCCAAGTGGGAGATGGAGGACTTGGGTCTAGCTCACACTGTGGTTGGTATTCAAATCAATCGTATTGACAATTTAACTTACTCAATGTCTCAACAACAATACGCATTAACGGTTCTCAAGAGATTTGATATGACGGACTCAAAACCTGCAATTACTCCTTTGTCTCCTAACGTCAAGCTCATAAAATCGACTGAAGAGGAGGCAAACGAATTTGCTAAAACCAAACTTCCCTACCGGAGCGTTGTAGGTTCTCTGATGTACCTGGCCCAATGTACTCGGCCGGATATGGCTCACGCTGTGGGAGTCCTCTCACAACATCTTGAAAGTCCTAGCAAGCTTCACTGGGAATCAGCTTTACACGTGTTGAGATACTTAAATCATACAATTAACATCGGCATAGTGTATTCTGGAAATGATTCAACAACTGTTGCCGGTCAGAGAAGTTTTGAGTGTCCATTGTCTCACTGTGACGCTGACTGGGCCGGAGACGTAAACACACGACGTTCAACAACTGGATACGTGTTTGTACTAGCTGGTGGTCCTATTTCCTGGAGGAGTCGTCTTCAACCAACGGTTGCTCTGTCTTCAACCGAAGCCGAGTATAGAGCTATAACTGAGGCTGGTCAAGAGCTAATCTGGTTGAGAAACATGATGGCACGATTTGGTTTCACTGATCCGCAACCTACAGTTCTTCATAGTGATAACTTAGGAGCAATTCATCTAACTTCAAAATCAATATTTCACGCTAGAACTAAACATATTGAAATACATTATCATTGGATACGTGAAGTGGTGAAGAAAGAAGATCTCACAATTAAACATTGTCCAACTCATCTAATGGTGGCTGATCTGTTAACCAAACAACTTCCTAAAGAACAATTTACTAATCTTCGACGTAGTTTGGGTTTGAGGTTTTTGGGGTAATGCTCTTTGAGGGGGTGTGTTAAGATATCCTATCTTGATGAGTGTGGTCAAAGATCATTTCCTGTTTTGGTAAGTGTGATGGATAAGAATGGAGGTGGTAAATGGTTCTGTAGTGGTTGTATGTGATGCAAGACTTAGCAGCAAATCTGATGGTTAACAAAGGGGCTAATGCATGGAAGTTGAATCAAGGGATGCGGCTGGATTTCTTTGGGGGTTTCCTTCTCTATTTGTAATTCTCTCTTTCCTCTTTTCTGATTCTTTTCGTGTCGAAAAGAATCAGTGAGTTTTTCATCTTTCAATTCAGATTTTGATCATACTGTTAACTGATATCAATACTGTCATCTTAGAAACTTTTTTATTGTTTCCTGTTCATCTTTCCTTACGCGCTCTTCTTTTATTTCGAGCTCGCAGGTAGATAGAAGTCCATCTACTAGATTCCAATTTGTCTCTTTTATCTGATAAGCTTTACTTTTTCACTTTGTTCTTTTGTTTGTGGTCTGTTAGGTTAGTTTCCTGTTCTCGTCGTTGAATAGCAGACAAGCTTTAGTCTGACGCGGAACCTGTGCCCTCAGGTGTGTGGTGTCGAAAAGAATCAAAACTTTTTTATTGTTTCCTGTTCATCTTTCCTTACGCGCTCTTCTTTTATTTCGAGCTTGCAGGTTAGTTTCCTGTTCTCGTCGTTGACTAGCAGACAAGCTTTAGTCTGACGCGGAACCTGTGCCCTCAGGTTAGTTTCCTGTTCTCGTCGTTGACTAGCAGACAAGCTTTAGTCTGACGCGGAACCTGTGCCCTCAGGTATCCTTTTTCGTACTATTGCATTGTCTAGCGGTGAAGTCATCTCAAGACTCTTTTTAGATTCTTGTGTTCTGTTCCGTCGAGAACTTTATAGTACCACACCATCTCGTTTCCAGGAACGCGAAAATGCACTTGGAGTTTTCCCTTTCGCTGGTACCCTTCCTGTTATTGCCGAGGAGGATGAAGACAATGACACCTCTACCCCCATATGTATTGATCTTGAGGTGGACGAGCAAGCACCCGAAGAACCAGAAACAGATCACGACTCGGAATGTGAAGACATGATGGAAGGTGCTCCAGACTATGATGAAGACCAAGTACAGGCGGACGCTGTGGAACCGGAACCGAGTGTTGATACTTTAAATGAAGATTCGTTTGGTAGTAAGTACCACACAAGTGCTTCACGAAAGCAAGCCAATCGGTTGAATGGTTTGATCAGCAAGGTAAACCATTTGAACTTTGTTCTTCTATTTGATGTAACTTTCTGATGATGTGTAAGGATTCAAAAATCTATGATTTTGCAGGCCAACTTTGTCTCACGTCGTGTGGCTCGTTCTGCGGCTTGGAGACGGCATTTCTCAAGAGTAGCGAAAGGTATGAATTTGAAGGTTTTACCTTTGACTCCCGGTTACAACGCGACTCGGTGGAATGCGGAGTTTGATTCTCTTGACAGATTGGTCAAGGCACGTAAAGTGAGTAGTCGATTTCTTTGAGGATGAATTCAAAGAAGTACATTTCGATTTATATGGTTTTATGTTGGCAGATTGTCAACAAACTGTTAGCCGATGACCTCGCCCTTCTCAAGTCTAAAAAAAGACGAAAGGGCAGCCAAAAGCCACGAGGCTACTTTCACGAGATATTTTTTACACCCAATGACTGGAATTCACTTGAAGCTTTGACGAATGAACTCTCGGTGAGTCTTTACATCAATACTAACCTTTGCATCGGGTCCTCAGCTGACATTTTGACTAATCATTATGTCAACAGCCATTCTTGGATCTAACCAAACGCATGGAGGGTGACGGACCCAATGGATGCCTTGTCATACCTGAGTTCTATGCTCTCAAGGTCCACCTCGCTTCACGAGTCGACGAATTGTTTATGGGTGACGCTCTGTTGCCCATGCTCCGATCCATGCAGGCCAGGGTTGACAAGTATTTTGAGGAGGCATTGCAGTGCGACACAACTGTCATGGCGACAATTCTCAATCCGTTTTTCCGAATTCAATTTTTCAAACGTGCTTTTGGTTCGGAGCACGAAATCACCATTTGAGCACGCAAGTTATTACAAGACAAGTTTGACACTCGCAAGCTTGAGCACGCCAGGATCAGCCTTACTCACCCTCACACTGATCCTAAGCACACAGAAAGAACCGCGACGTTAGAATCAGCCTCTTCGAATCTTAAATCGTCCGACAATGTCTTCCAACTTTTCAAGGCTCAAGGTCCCGAGGTGGAGTCAAACGAAGTAGCTGCTTACATCAAGGGAACTCACCCAATGTCTTCCAAAGACAATGCGCGTGAAACCAAAGCGGTCTTGTCATGGTGGAAGGTATGCTATGCGTCTCTCTTGAATATTTCTCTTATAAATTTCGCATTTCGGGATCTGATGGTTTCACATCGCCAGGTGCACTGCGGGTCTTTTCCAGTGCTGGGGTCTCTGGCTAAAGACTACCTGAGTCTATCTGCAAGCTCGGCGATAGTGGAACGGACATTTTCAGCAGCAGCTGATATATGCTCGTCCGACCGAGTGCGCTTGGTACCTCGTACCATAGAATGTTGCGTAGGGTCGCGTCTATGGTGGCGTCAGCGTGTGCCGCTAGCACACACTTATACCGAAGTGAACGAGGCCATTGACGCTTTTGGCGGTAGGCAATCTAAAAAGTAGTTTATCATTGTATTTCAAACTATTTCTTCAAGATATCATTATATCTGTTCTTATTGTTGCTTGTCGATCAACTAAACTATGCCATATGCCGTATGCTTTTTTATATTTATGTTTATGCCTCTTGACATTTTGATTCTTCTCTTATATGCCAATAAAACAACCAAACTTATGCCCATATGTCCTTCGCTCGACAGTGAGGAGCAACGTGAGCAACGTGAGCAACGATGAGAGCAACGCTTTTTGCGTTGCGCGCAACGCAACGGGAGTTGCCTTTGCCCGTTGCGTTGTGGAGTCACAGTGAGAAATAACAAACGTTGATGACAGGTTATATACAGTTGTTTTCAAGAAGCTTGTCACAAATTCACTGCCAAATTGCATGAGTTTTCCTGGCAAATTGGAACAAGCTTTTTGAAAACAACTGTGCAAAGGTGAACTAGGTCTACTGTGCCGCAGTTGTGTACATACTTCCAAGTTCTGGGCAGACCTTGTATCTTTTGCAAACACTTGCTAAATCCTTTATGATTGTTGTTCATCTTTCATGGCTAGTGGGGAGAACATCCTTTTCTCATCAGTAGGAAAGATTTGACATAGCCACTCTGTGGTCAACACGCACATCAGGTGCGGTTAAGTTGATTTTAGAGACAACTGGTAAAACCAGTTACAGTCGTTTTATCTGCCAGTGCTGCGCTGATGAACTTTTTGCAAGTTTTCAATCAACTATTCTTGGAATGGCTGTAAGCTTTGACTTGGAATCTGCATTTTCTATCTCCCCTGGATCTTCAGTAACACCCCTAGATCTATCAACCTTGGCCGCATCTGCTTTTAGAGCCTGTGCAAGGATGTAATCAAGATCTGATCTTGTTGTGATACAACAAATTCACACCCTTCACACTGGATGATGCCTGCAATCAAATTGATTGCCGAGTGATGGATGAGGTCAACGAGCCAGCTTGCCATCTCTTCCTCCGCACGCAGCGCGTTTGCAGGCGGAGTAGGTGGACGAGGATTGATGTTCTTAAAGAACATTGCTCATTGTGAGACTGAAGCTCAAGCAGCTTGGCAAACTATGATCAAGGAAATCCCACACACCCACGCAAAATTTAAAATATTTACAATTTATGATATCATGGAACAGGAGCACCGTGACTTCTGCTGCACTTGGCTGGATAACCAAAGTGCATATGCATACTTCATCGATCGGCAAGAGACTTGCGTCGGTAACGGTGAAATGTAGAAACCTTGTGGTCTTTCGACTTGAGATCTGCTCGACTTGACTTGTTTGCTCGACCTTTACTCCCGATCAGACGTCACAACCATTGTCAAATTCACCGACAATAAGAACCTTCCTGAGGCTGTGGTGCTGAAAACCCACCGCACACAACTGAGACAACTTGTAGCATCTTTCAAAGTCTTTCATTTAACGTTTTAAATATCTTCAATCAGCTTGGATGAGATCTGTTCTTGTCCGCTAATCTTCACCGCCCAGTTGACAATTCCGATTGATGTGCAAGAACCAAGTCAACAATCCGCTTAGAGTTCGGTTAGTATTACGACACCCCTCTCCTGATGCTCCTGGGTGATGTTCAGCCTTGCTCAAAAGAAATATTTTCCGATATTCTCGCGCCCAGTTCAGCCATTTACTCTTTCGACACCAGACGAATAGCCGCAAATCAGGCGAGATACGAGTGCGGTCTTCTAATCGACTTACCACTTAGAACATCCGCTCTGGTGGATAGATTCTACAACATCATTTGTTGGTTGCAATCACACCTCACACCCAAACGCTTCCTCATCCAGGCTAGGCTGAACATACTTAAAGAATCACTAAGGGAGCCGTAGAGGTTGAGGTTGGACCTCTTCATTTTGCTCCGTCACTAATTTACGAAACTCTAAAGCAATCCACCTGCAAACCGTTCAAGCCGCTTAGCCTGGACCTCGACTTTGGATTAACCATATCAGATCGACCCTGTAGACTGTGGGTCAATCTCCATGTCTTTCGAGGTCCAGCATTGTTTCTGAATCAATCTGTGCACTTGCTGACTTTCTGTTCCTTTTCGAAAGATCCTTCACCTTCATTCTCTACTACATTGCTTCCTGCTTCGACCAATCATCATTTCAACCTTAACATCTGGTTGGCTGATCTCTTTTCATCCAAAACACTACATATTATCTGTGGTTTGTGGAAGATCTCAGGTGAGAGCTTAGCACCGCTTAGCGACATTTCTCATGTTTCCTTATGTCATTGCTGAAATTGCTCCGTTTGCTGATCAAATGCTCAATCATGATTTTGATCCGCAAAATGTTCTTTGGAACCACACAGCTACTAATCAAACGTCATCAATCATTCGGAAGTCTTTAAAATCTCACTGAAGTGTATCCAGCCTTGCAAGTTTACAATTTTCCACTGCACCATCATTCCACCACCCATCATCCGACAAAATCTTATTCACCCTCAGCATCAACAATTTTCAGTGCATAGACTTGCCCCATCGATCTTCAAACTGCGCGTAAATACCCCACATTCTCAGCGTCATTTGATTGCGTTCAACTGATTGGTCTTGGGCCGCCTACATCCTCATTAAACTGAAAAACTCCTTCCAACATAGCGTACCATACTACCACGACTTGAACTATCATCGAAATTTAACTAAATATCATCTCTGAATCTCAATTAGAGCCTAATCAAGATGGGGAAACTCCTTTTGCCTTCATCCATAGTCATTACACCTCCTGAATCATCAAGTGGTACCACTCCTCAAAGTTCTCCGCGACCTCATCTCGTCTCTTTGTTGGCATCCAAGACAACCCTTCGGCGTCATCGCTTGATACCTTTTATCATTTGCACTTGTATAGCTGGTTTGATTCTTATCATTTCACCCCTTCATCTTGTCCGAAACGCTGCTCGCTCTTCCCTTTATCTGATCGGTGTCCGAGCCCACAACGGTATTCCATCTGAAGCTTATGGTCGGATTTTACCTGTGGTTGGAGAATACGACCCAAACCAAGTTGGACTCGAAGCTTTTCCTCAATGGAACTCGCATCCTCTTCCTTTCTCAAGCTGGCGAAAATGGGCACAGTTCATCGATTTAAAGTCTCATGTCTTGCAGAACATTTTGATGCCTGATCAAGTCCCGATTCACACATTCCCTCGAGAGATCGTCTTAAGCCAAGACGCTCCCGAGCTTTCCGATTTGTAAGTCAGGTTCTTTCTCTACTTTCCTCCACTGTTTGATACGCTGAACTCCCAAGTTGACATATATACATCTTTCCAGAATGTTTGGAATTGCAACCACAGCGGACCGCGCTACAATCTTGTCCCATCTATGGTCACATTGGCTCAATCCTCGCCCACATTCCAACTCTGCTTCACCATCTTGTATTATCCTTCTTGGCGAGTCTGACTTCGAGACAGACTCGAATCATACCATTTCCAAAGCAGAAGAGCTTTCGCAAACTCTTCACTCACGTCGACAGTTACCAATGTGTCAAGTGATCGGCACTCAAGTTCGACATTCTAGTCGTTACGAGATTCGATACTTTGCACTTTTGAAGGAAATGGATGAGATCGCCCGGTCGAAGAATGAGAACCCAAAATGGTATGTGATTGGTGACGACGATACGGTATGGGTTGATGAGCGTATGCTCAGGAGAGAGTTGAACAAATATGATCCAGACAAGAAGTGGTTTCGTGAGTAATATTCCCTTTCAGATCCTTCCAGCCGTTTGCGATAGATAGACTAAGCCTTGCGTTTGATCTTATTTCAGTCGGAACCACTTCAGAAGCTGTGGCTCAGCTGAATACTTTCGGGAACATGGCATACGGTGGAGGTGGGATCATCATCTCAAGGGGTTTGTTCAAGGAAATGTTAGAACAACACGAATTTTGCCTTGAGGCCAACAAAGATGTCTTTGGCGGTGATGAAATCTACACGCGTTGGTACGTCAAGATACCTGTGGTTGGGAGCCTCAAGTATCTTCAATTAATCATTTGATTATCGTCCCTCTCACAGCGCTGCCCAAGCTATGGGGAATGGTGCTACAAAGGACACCGTCCTCACACCAATAGACTCGTTGCACCAGATGGACGTGCCTGGTGATGGAAGCGGTCTATTTCAATCTGGCATACCTTTCATGTCGCTTCACCACATGTGGCACGGATGGACAGATGCTTTTGGTAAGTTCGAATCAATTACATACAGTCACGACACATAAATCCTCGCGCCAGCATCGCGCCTATCCATCATATTGACATTGTCTTTCTTGTATCTTCACAGCGTGGGACCACCCCACAAGTTTTCATCATGAAGACAATGACTTAAACCAACTCCTTCTACTCTTGAAGGCGGCAAATTTTCTTGGGGGTGATAACCTTTTTCGAAGATCTGTACACGGCGACGGATCTCAACTCCTCAGTCTCGGGTACTCGTTCACGGTCTATGATAAACCTCTAGCACCACAAGATACGAAATTGGTCGAATACACTTGGAGTTATGATGGCTACGAATTACGGTATCCATCTAGAGCGCGGATCCCAGAGACTGACGAGGTTGGAACAGGCGGGAAACGTACATATTACCTCAGTCAATTGGAAATTTCACCAGATGGACAATCGGCTACCTTTATCCATTTGGATAAGTGGAAAAACCGAATGGATATCCTATGGGGTGAACCTTATAGACATAAAAAGCACAGAAGCACTGCTCGTTGGCACTGAATACCTAGATTTCTACCATGCGGGATCAATTTGTTCAAGTTTTGGCTTTTTTAATCGTTAAAGTTGACTACTTCAACATGATTTCTACCGCATTTTATTCTCCTCTCTTCGAAACATTCTCAGCAAAAGCATGTTTTTCTTTGTTGTCTTTTTGTTGTTGGCTTTTGAAAAAGGATTATTTCGTTCATCCATCGTTACTCATTAGACATCTTGTAATCTACACTGGTTGACATGCAATTAAAATAGGAAAGAAGTGATTGTTAAAACCATGAAATGAACATCAGTCTATCACCCATGGGCATGCGCTACCAATTTAATCTGACTCTAAAACCCTATCCCTCCATATTGTACCATATGAAAATAAGATGAGTCCAATATGCTGAAACCTTGGAATTAGCGGCTGCAACCAAGGTTTCAGTCAGCCGTCTTGTCGACCGCCACGTTCAAATCTCACCGTGTGTCCAAATCGATCTATAGGCTCAAGACGTGGAATCAGCAATTGTAAGTCAGGCAAATCATGAACTGACTTTGACTAACGGTGATTCCGCTCACGTCGTGATGTCCATCTACATACAGTCGTTTTCAGAAAGCTTGCCCAAATTTGCCCGCAAAACATCGAGCAATTTGGTGGTGAATTTGCGGCAAGCTTTTTGCAAACGACTGTACATAATATGAGTGAGGTCTCTTGAATTTGTACCATTGGATCAAAATGGCGGAGAGACTAAAGTGATCACTTCTCAGGCAAAACGTGGACATCCTGAATTCGATCCGGTAATTTCTACCTCATAACCGGCACTGTTTTGCTTTTCCGCTTCCAAACAACTATTACCTTGCGATGGGATTATTGTTAAGCAGTCTGGGGAAGCCGCCGAGTGACTTTATTTCAAAAGAGGATATCTTCAATCTGGAGTCCACCTGAGGATCTTTGATCTGTAATTTGAACAAGATGCTGAGCCTTCGGGTCATTGAATGTAGGTTCCGAAGTGACAAAACGAGTTGAACTGTTTCTTTCGAGGGCACTGCAGCGCGCACTGTGCGCGACACCTTTAGTTGTCAGTCCACCACACAATTGTGTTGCCTGGGTCAGTCCATCACGACATGTTGTAATTGGCTGTCATTGATGCAATCCTTAGAGTCTGAGGAAATGAGAAACATACACCATAGCCATTGAGGGCAACGCTACCGCCGAGAGCCGAGAGATGAACAGATCCCGGGTTTAGGTCGTGATGAAGTCACATCAGATTGTATCCGGCTCGCAGCAGAGCCAACTCCCTCGCTCCACAAACGCCCCCGGCTTCAAGGGGGCAGGCTTTAGAGGTGAATATTGACCATGACAGACAAAATTGACCGCGGCGTACATTTGATGCAGACCAGACCCGTCAAGATTGATTAGGTGTCTTCAACCCGAGATGTCTTGTACCGTTTCCTTGCGGGTGACATCAGGGTAACCCAAAGGTGGCGATTACCGCGATTCAAGCTGGATCAGCTCAGGTATGAGCCAATCATGACTAAACCGAATGAAGGAGAGTCAGACATATGACCTTCTTGATAGTTAGACTTGCAGAAAATATTGATCAATTCTTGAGCTACTGGTCCAACTGAAAGACGGTCAGTCGATCACATTCATGAAGACTTTATTTGAGTCTTCATATAAAGGTATCGCCTTTCAGCATTCAAGGACAATAATCACATCTCCTCGTTTGCCTTGCGAGATACACATTGCAGCACAAAAAGACTTCAGTACCACGCATTCGCATTCCCCTTGTTTATTACAAATCGTTAACTAAGAGCATATCAGTATCCTGCTCATTTGAATAACTTTTTATACTTTATCAAGCATTTATAAACATCATCATGAAGACTCAAACCAAGTCATCTATCCTCCTTATTTTAGTACAAAACCATGTTAACCTGTTTGCTAACGCAGCTCCACAAGGCTTTCACATGTCAATCTTTCCACAAATAGGCTCACAAGATTTCCTTTCGCAGTTTGCCAATCAATGGGCCAATTTTTTCCCTAACTTTCAACAACAACAACCTTCCACCCGGAACCGAGCTTCTAGTCAATCAAACCAACAACAAGCTCAACAAAATCAACCACAAGCCCAACAAAACAATGCACCAGTCAGAAGCTCAAACACTCCTTCTAATGGCGCTCAAAGCAATACGATGAGCCCTACGCAAAGCTCTTCAACTAGTTCTCCTCAGACAGCTCAGTCCAATCAGCCCTCAAGCAACCAATCTCCGAACAGCTCATCGGCCACTGCATCAAGCAAGCAAACAACCCCAACTGCATCCGGCGCTTCACCCACTGGAACCTGTGCCTCCATCACCGTCCGAAAGGAATGGCGTTCTATGGCTCGTGCCGACCAAAAATCGTATTTGTCTGCTGTTAAATGTTTGATGACCAAACCATCGACTTTGAAGCCCAGGTCAAACCTTCGATTGTATGATGATTTTGAGAGTGTACATGATCGTTCAAGGCCAAACGTACATTGGGTCGCTCAATTCTTGCCATGTAAGTTTCTTTCAGGTTTTTCAAATTTTTATATTTTTTAGATTAACTGATTTTTGGGTACACCTATAGGGCACAGACATTTCATCCATCTCTATGAACAGGCTTTGCAGTCATGTGGCTACAACGGAGGTTTACCGTGAGTGATTTTTACAGAAGTATTTAAAATTTCATACACTGAAGCCGCTCTGTCAATCAACAGGAGATGGAACTGGAGTTTAGACGCCGCCAATATGACTGCCTCCCCAGTCTGGTCACCAGATCCTGAAGTGAGTGAAACAACAAAGACTCTCTATTTTTCCTTCATGGGTGGATACTAACATTCCGAAAACAGGTCGGTTTTGGTGGTAACGGTATGGACTTTTCCAACGATCAAGATGGACTTGGAGGTGGAACTGTTCAAGATGGAGCATTTGCAAACCTTCAATTACTTTACCCTGATACCCATTTACTCGAGCGAGGTTTCAATTCACCTCCAGAGTTCAACCAAGGGTACGGGCCTTTTCACATTTGGAACACATTATTCTCAAACCAACGATCGCTGATTTTTTTCTCGTTCAAATTTAGTGGAACTTTGTACGGATCACAATATTTCGACGCCAATGCTGTTAATGTGGTGAAGAGTGCTGACAATTACATAGATTTCCACGTTGGACTCGAGGGTACCAACCCTTCATCTCCTGGCCCTGATTCACCTGGACCTCATGGAACGATCCATGCCACCATCGGAGGGGTATGTCCTTCCTCGCTTACAAAGTTCAAATTCATTGCAATTGACTTTTTTGATTCGCTGTCTATTTGTCACAGGACATGTCTCCTACTTCTTATGCCGCCAATGATGTAAGTGACCCTGTTCTCTATCGCAGTATCTGCTAAACAATCAGTGACTGACTCTACCTTTAATCTTGCAGCCGTACGTATTCCTCACTCACCCTAACACCTTCACGAGACTCACACATGCAATCTTTTAGTATTTTCTTCTTACATCACTCCAATGTCGATGCCATCTGGTGGCAATGGCAACAAGCTGACCCGAAAGGTCGAACCTATGCCTTTGGTGGAAACGTTGGTTAATTCCCTGAAATTCTCTGTCTTAGACCTCCGTAACTAATAGTCATTTTTATCTCAGCGCGTTCAAGGCCAAGATACCAGTGATGCGACTTTGAATGACAGGCTTGCGTTCTTAGGCTACAGTCCTGACCTAACCGTCAGACAAGCTATGGATACTTCAGTTTATCCTTACTGCTACAAATGTCAGTCACCCTTTTCTTCTCATGCCATCGTCGACCTCAATCCTAATCTTCAAATCATTTTTTTACAGATGAGTGAAGCAACACGCTTTTTATGAAACCCACTTTCTCTCTTTACTTTCAACTTATGCTCAAGATACCACCTCTACACGAACAATGTCCATTATATTTATGTTATGCCCCATCATCATCATCACCATGATTTCTTTCTACTTTTTTTCTTACTTACAATGCTCGATTTAACAACTTCATTTTCATTCTCTTTACTAAGCAAAAAAAAACATGCTACAATTATTGTTACACTATATACCATAAAAATACCCACAAAAACTATTTATATAAACTTGATTACAAAAATCACAATTTGTATTACAAGAAAGTGTTCCATTTCAACTTTACTTTGGGCAATATATCAATTCTTACTTTGTGCTAAACTATTTATCGCTGAGAGAAGCTCAAGATAGATCTCTTCTACTTGAGACTGTGTCTTGAGGGTTAGGGGTTACCTTAACATCGGTTTGATCTCTCTTTGGGAGTTTCCGTTTGCGAGCTTTGGTCGTGGATTCAGGTGAAAAAAAAACATGCAACTTATATAAATTTGAAATCCTCTAATGCCAAGCTGTAAAATCAATCCAATCTTTTTATACTTTTCAATCTAGATATATATACTCTTGAAACAATAAAATGCAAAAACAAAGAGTAGAAGAAAGAGAGACTAAGAACGACAAAAACAAACAATGAATATAAATGAGCAAAAATGAAACACATAGAGAGAGAGAGAGGAGATATCCAAATAGAGAAAAAACATCATCATATACAGAAAGAAAAGAGAGTCTGCTATAGAAAAAGAAGAAGAAAACCCCTCTGAAATCGTTCCAAATTCTCATTTCCCATTTCCAACCTAAACAAAACCTATCCACAAATTTTGATCTCCAAAACCAAATACAAAACCCCCCCAAAAAAACATATACAATCATGGAAAAAGAAAAATAAAGGATTGTATTACAAATCATCAAGTTGATCATCATCAGATCTCAAAAAATAATTAAAAAACATAGATTCATGACTCAAAAACTTTTCAATAATCAAATAAACATGTATAATCAATGAAGGAAATCGTTTTGTAAAATAATTCAAAAAACCTTCTGGTAAGTTACCTAATGTACGTTTTAAGTTTTCTGGTAAATCTTGAAAATGATGTTTCTATTATATTCATTTCATAACGATGAAATCCAAAAAAAAAGAAGAAAAAAAAGGTCAATGTCACATCAGTTTTTTCTTTTCTTTTTTTTTGGAGTTTGAAGAAAAAGTAATAGATTTTTTTTTTCGAAAAAAAACAAACTTTATTTCTTAAAACCCTTAACAAATCTCTAATCGAACCAAAATCATATCTTCTATACTTTCCCAAATTCTCAACCAAGATCTTATCTACTCTCTTATCCCAATCTAATCCGATTTGACGTGACAAAGTAGAAGGTAAATATTCATAAAAGATTTCAAGGTTTTCTAATCGATTTAAGATTTCAATCGTACTAGGTTCTTGACTTTCTCGATCTAAGATCTCAAACCGATCACTCGATTCACATAAAAACATTAATCTTTTATTCGGATTCCAAAAATATGGGTTCTGTAAAACTTGTTCTGCTGTAGGTCTATAGCAGCCAAAAAAAAAACCCAAAATTAAATCTTGAATTCGTTTTTTTTTTCCATACAATCTTTTCGAATCAAAACAAGACACTTACCTTTCTTTTGGATTAGATCTCAACATAGATTTAATTAAATACTGAGCTTCAAATGCTTCTTCATCAAACCCATCCAACTGTTCTAAGGTCATATCACCCTTCAAGATATTCACTTCTCTTTCATACCTACTTCCAAACGGATGTTCACCTCTAGTAAGTACATAATAAAAAATACAACCTAATGAAAAGATATCAATCGATCTAGTCAATCGATTCCCATTCGAACTCGTTCCATTCTCATTAGTTTCAATCGATCCATTCGACGTAGAATTAATCGTGGATGAAGTTATAGATGAATTGGGGGTCAAGTTGCTTTGTTCATTTAGATTCACTTGTCCTTTTAAGATTTCAGGTGCTCTATAACCAAATGATCCAGCTCCATGATTAGCAGTTTGAGCAAAACTACTTTCATCTATATCCAACTTTTTACAAAGTCCGAAATCCGAAATCAACATTCTAACGGTTCTTCTTTGATTCAAATTTTTGCAAGATGGTGCTTTAATCGATTTCTTTTCATTTGATCTTTTATTCGAAATCACTGGTCCTTTTGTAAAACTAATTAAAATGTTTTGAGGTTTGATATCTCGATGTACAATCTTAAGTGAATGTAAATACCTTAAACCAGAGGTGATTTGTTTTAATGCTTTCTTCGGATTAAAATGTTCTAAGATCTCTTCATATTCATTAAAGTTTTTCTTTTCAATCAAATCAAATAACGATCCATTACATAATTCAAGTGCGATATATAAAAAATTCTCTAATGATTCTTTTACAAAATATCGTATCACATTCGGATGATCATCTGATTCTTGTAAAAGGGTGACTTCATGAGTGGCTAAGGTGACAAAATCTTTTAATAATCTTTTGATCGCTACTTGTCGTCCTTGAAATGTTCCTTTGAGTACTACTGTTCCATGTGAGCCGTATCCTAAAGATCGAATCGTAACACAATGCGTCAGTTACAGGTATAAAATGCAAATCATAAGAACAAACCAACCTAGAGTCTCGTCAGTGATCATCAAGGATCCAATCTTATGTGGTTGAAAGCCTCCGGAATCAACTGGTGATAGTAAGGAACCGAAAGAAGTAGTAGTAGCAGAGATGTCTAGCTCAGGTGGTCTGTGATCAGGAATCTTGGTGGGAGTGATTTGCTGGGTAAGGTCAGACAGGCTGGGTTGTTTGAGTGAAGAAGTAGAATTGAGATGTGATTTCTTTTTCCTCAAGTTTAGTTTTGGTTTTGATGGTGTTGCCTGCTCGTTTTCAACTTCTGCAAAGCGCAAGGTGGGCTGAGATGGGCTAGCAGTAGCAATGGTCGTCATTGAAGGATGTGATTTTAATGACCGAGTGGTATCAATGATAGAAACAGGGAAATCGACTTGAGCTTTACAGGCTTCTGCTTCAGCTTTGGCAGCAGCAGCAGCGGCCGCCGCTGCTTTTTGACCAGGTCGTTTGCCTCTTCTCCGTTTAGGCTTTGGCTTCGGTTTAGGTGTTTCAAGCGTCCCGCTTTCTGCTTGTTCACCATCATCATTATCGATTTCATCTGTGGTTTCATCGGCTTGATCCGAGGTGGAAGGGGCTGTCAGACCAGAAGGTTTAGGTTGAAAGTCGACGATATTAACTTTTGAATTTACACCACAGACTCCATCTCTTGTACCTGTATTCGAAACTGCAGTTCCCTCCACCAAATCATCTGTAAGACTATCCGAGTTTGATTCCTGATCGTGAAAGGCTTTTGGTGACACAATCGCCGATTGAGAAACATCTTCACTTTGTCTACCACCCAGCCAATATTCAAAAAGATTAACAGGCTTGTTACGTGCAATTGATTCAGGTAAGCTACTCGACGTCCGCCGCGCCAGATTATCCCAGCGGTAAGAGTGGGAACTTCGGGTCTTTTTGGAGGCTAACCATACCAGAACAAAGGTGAAGAATAGGATTGCCAAGGTCGGGTTCATGCTCAAAGTAACATCGTCAGGTTGCTCATTGGAATCACGGGAGCCATTTGATTGGATGAGTTGATTTTTGAAGCTTCGTACGATTAGTGAAGAGATCTGAGCAGCACGTTGCTGAATCACTGGTTTAGGAGACTTTGAACTAGAGGGTGAGTTTGAAGGGGTTGGTGATAAGATGCTAGATAGACTGAATTTCTTCGCTAGACTTGGGCGTGTTTCCTGAGAAGGGATTAACGGAGGTTGTGGGGCAGGATCCAAGGCTAAGGGTGGATTGTCTCTCCAACGGCCTCGACCATCAAGAAGACCATGTTTCGCACTTGAGCCAGCTTCCAAGAGAAGACTACGATCATAAATTGATCCAATTGTATGCGTTGCTAGTCCAGCATCAAGAAGAGTATGAGTACCAATGACATTATTGTTACCAAGAGCTTGTTGAGCGGATGGAGCAAAAGAGACCAGAGGATAGTTGTCTTGAGACATGATATAGAAAGATTCATCAAAGTTTCCTAGAAAAGCTTTCTTAGAATGAACGGTGGGATCAGATTCGGGTCTTGAGGTTGAAGAATGAGGGTATTCAGATTGTGAAGCTTTTGTCGGGTTATATTGTTCATACATAGATGAAAACGTTTGTGAGGATAATCCACCTTGAGATGGCATTAGCCTGGGTTGAACAAACATGACAGGTTGTTGAGCTGAGGGTGTTTTGTCTTCGGATGAGTGGGTATTTTCCCAAGACGGACGAGATGGATCGGGTCTGTGATCAAGGTCCTTGCTGAGATCTTGAGTCTTTTTGGGAAACGCCACATCAAAGATATTGGTAACAGGGAAATCAAATGAGTTTTGCCACTTGATCTTGCCATCCTGATGTTGGAGTGGATCACCTGGATTGTTAGTTGAAAGTCGATCGAATTGAAAGCAGATCAGATTTCCATCATGCATAGGTTCAAGATATGATTCATCTGGGGTTCTTGTCCATTGTGATTGTAAACTGTTTCCTAGATTAGAGGGTGAGTAGGTCGAGTATCGTAGTGTTTGGATGAGTGTATCGGGTTTAGAATAAATTGATATTTGATAGTCTGGATCACATGATAAGAGCATCGGATTGTTAATTTCAAGTAGAACATTATGAAAAAGAATGTAAGTGAAAACATACCTGTTCGACCGATATAAAGCAAATCTCTTGGTCGTTGATCAATATCATCATCACTCTGAGACTCTTCAGTTTCAAATCTGGATGATGAGCCTTGACCATCATCTTCCATTCTACAAGTTTGACGATTTAAAAGACTATCAAACCTTTCACAAGTTTGACGACCTTTTCCTTTATGTGGTTTACGATTGATATCAGCCTTTAAGACACCAACGACTTGTCCGTTTTTAAGATCGATTCCAATCAGATTAGTATCTTTCTTTCCCACAAACATTTTTGAAGAATCTGAAGGAAATGTAAAAGGTGATAGATTAACAAGTTGTGAAACTGAAAGTGGTAATTTTTCAAGTTTAGATGAATTTGAAGAACGACTGAGTACATAAAGGTCACCATCATTATGAGGTTCGATTGCATAGATTTCCGAATGATCTTGTGAGTTAGATTGATCGATATGATGATTAGATTGAACTGAAGCTAAATCGATTAGCCCTTCAGTTTTTTGAGAAGGATCATTGAGAGTCCAATTCCATTTTCCAGTATTACGATCTAATCCATGTAATTTACCATCTAGAGTGGTTACTAGAACTAGATTTGATAATTCAAAAGGTTGATGATTTGATTGATAATTTGAATGAAGTTGATCTAATGAGTTGATGGATGATGATGATGATGATGATGATGGATTTGAATCGATAGGTGAGTTCATCAGGTTTTAGTATTTTGAGTGTTGTCTTTGGATGGCCTTTTCCTTTTTTGTGTTTTCCAATCAAGGTAAATGTTGAAAGTTTGCAGAATGTATGCAGGGTCTTACTCCTTTCTGACAATAGTAGTTTTGATGATGCTGTGTAAAGTTGAGAATCGAGTTTACAGAATTGATGTTTTGTTGATAAACTTTTGCAAGAAGATGAAGCTTTTCAAGTGAAACTTTTCTCTTTACAACTGCAAGAAATGCTTGAATCGAAATTGAAATTGAAATTCAATTTGTATACAATTTGATTTTGACTGATGAACCTTTTAAAATTCTCAATACAAATTTGTTTTAAGTTTCTTTCCCATTCTAAAACTTTCCTTCACTCAACTACAAAAAAACTCAAACAAGAAATTACATCATTGCCTTGTCGGTTGTTAACAAGTCTGTTTGTCCTACAACAACACCAAGATCGTTTCATAAATACTTTAACATCATACATATGGAAACATTTGACCCAACCAACTCACTTGAAAATAGCCACACACACACACTGGTGCCACTGGTCGTGACTGGTGATGTTGTAACGATATTTATCAAGTAACTCTAAAACAACTTCAATGCCTTTAAAGAATCAAAGCAGGTCTTTTATACATGCTTCCCTGCGAACCAGAACTTCAGAAGAAATTCTTACATGGATGATCGGTCTGAAGTTTCTTTGTGCTAGATTTCTAAAACTCTACCATGTATTACCCATATCACAAGTTGCAATATTCTAAAACATTTACTCAACCAGATCACTGATCAGTCTGAGCTTACCAGAACTGTTTCACACCTATATGTACTGATGAAATAAAAAAGATCAGATTAGACTCCATGAATGAAAGCGAACGACTGGTAGATCTTATCAGTCCTCTTTTGAAATTGTGGTCCCAAGTGTAGCCTGTTAAATTTGACCCACACTTCTCAGGTCCCCAAGAAACAGATATCCTTTGATTGACTCATATATCATATCTAATATGAACCATCTAATCCTTCATTCATTATTCCATTTTCTTTTACAAATCTTCATTGTTCAATGTCGTCCAGTCTTAGAATCAAGTCTTTCTTCAAGTACTAGAGTACCTAAAGTAGCACATTTGGAAGCCACTGGTCCAGAGAACTGGTATCCAGAGACTGTTGAGCGAGTCGTACAAGGGTGTGTTAAAGACTTTGTCAGTTCGGAGCTTGTATGTTGTATCTTGACTAACGTATCAACTATGGTTTAGACGAGGTTCGAATATTCCTCGAACAGAGGAAATGCAAGTGAGCTTTTGATTTTCTCAGAATGTGTTTTACAATATACTCTATCATCAAAATCTCTATCATGCACGAAACAACATCAGATTCATCATACATCCATTTCTTTTGAGAAAAACAAAAAACAAAAAACTGATTTTAAGAAATTTATCTTAGGAACGTTATACCCAATACTTTTCAAATGTACAAAAAAATCATAAAACACCTGAAGAAAACATTTATAAACAAATGGAATGGAACCCTAAACTTCGAAACCAAGAAAACCTACCAAGTTTTCTAAATCCTCAATGTCATCAAAGATCAGATCTAGTGAAGATTTTAAAGAATGGTAAGTTTTAACCAAAGAAATCATGAATAAAGTTTATTCAAATTCACATTATAACTCAACTTCAGCTCTTCTTATGAACCATTGATTTTGATCTATACAGATTTCCCATGGGATTTACCAAAGGAAGTTGAACATTTTGTAGTTTGGATGCGAATTCCATTAGTCAACAAATCATCATTCCAAAAGCACGGTAAAGAAAGATTTCCATCGATAAAATACTTTAACCAAGACCGAATCAAAGGATTACTAGAATACATAGACAATCATCCATTCTTTGGTTACAGTGGGATCCATGATGAGAATCTAATCAAACCTTTAAATCCTGCAAAAGAATTACATCCGAATGGAAATCCTTATAAGACTTTTAATAATCAATTCATCACTCAGACTGAGGGATGGCAAGCTATTCAATGGGCTGGTAGACATGTTAATGCTTATCTTCAAAAAACTTTTCCTCAAAATCAATATGAGTTTGTTTGGAATAGAAGCACTAAAAAAGTTAGGTAAGCTCTCAAACTCTTTCTTTTATATGTTTCATTGATTTTTTTTGGGTGGTAGTCTTTACTGATCAATGAGGTTTACATACTTTTCTTTTTCAAGATCTTTTGTGGATCCAGAGCACATTCAGTAAGTCTTTCATCATCCTTTATTGCTTTCTGAAAGGTTGTGAAGAAGAGGCATAGTATTAATAATACCTGATCCATGCAATCTCTCTCTCTGTATCCATAGTGTTCTGGTCAAGTCCAAAAACATAGATTGACCAAAAATCTTACATGATACATAAATATAGATTTTGTTGTTTGTTTACTAATTTATTCTGGAATAATATTAGGATTCATCATCTATATCTAGATGTTGCAAGTCAACTCTTAAAGGGCACTCACCTTTACTAGCTTATGAAGCTAGTATCTATCCAACACCTACTCCTAGTACTGATCACAATCAAAAAATCAGACATTGAAAGTACATACATTCTTATGGCTATATAGATATGATGATCAGCTTTTACAATACTCCTCATGAATTCCTAGACAAAAATACATCTTTGAAGTTGAATGCCATTTTGCCCTCAAGGTCCAAAAGATTGGTAACAGTGGCAATATAGGGATTTCATCAAAGTTCAGAAATGCAAAATATATTTGTAACTTGTATGCCAACTCTTAAAGGGCACTTACCATTACTAACTTGTGAAGCTAGTATCTAACACCTACTCCTAGTAGTATGTAGTACTGATCACAGTGACACTCAAAAAATCAGACACTGAAAGTACATACATTATTATGGCTAATAGCTATATGTATATATGATGATCAGCTTGTACAATTTGTCCTACACAAAGCTAATTGATTTTGGAACTTTTCCACAAACCTTTCCAGACCAGTTTGCATAACAAAAAATTGACTATGTTCCAGACTCTTTTACCCCTAGACAAAAATTCAAAATATGTCTTTAAATGCCATTTTGCCTTTAAAGTCCAGAAGACTGGTAACAGTGGGAATAAGGGATTTGATCAAAGTTCAGAAACGTAGGAGATATTCTGGATATCTGGCTTTTTGGAAAACCTTTTGGAAATGTAATTTTCCCAAAAAAAACAATCCACACCCTACAAGCAAGAAGACTTTCTACAGTTACGCAATAATTACGGTACTCAAAGTTGTGTATAGTGTGTATAGTTTTCTGTGTATAGTTTTTTTTGGCAGGGAAAAAGAAGCCAAAAGTATATTTTCATTTTTTCCCTGCCAAAAAAAAGTATACACAACAAAGTATACACAAATACAGTACTCAAAGCAAGTATGTGGCTGTACATACTTTTTCCCACATACTTTTTGAGTTTTTTTTTTGGGCGGGGAAAAAAAAGTATGTTCGGGTCCAGAACTATGTCGCTTTGAGGACCCCAACATACTTGTCTTCTTCATTCCTTGGTGTTAATCATGCCTCGAACTGGCCAAAGGCACAATATATCTGCGGAGCTTGGTTGAGCCTCTGCACAGGTCATATCTGTCCTCCAATCCACTTCACAACCCCCCTCTTGCTTTGCTCTATATGCCTGCCTTCACCTTGAATTGATATTGACTACCGCTTTGATGTTGATGGACAACTCTGAAGAAGTCTTTCTCTTCTCTGCTCTCTCCCTCATTCAAGCGTTCAACACTTTCCTCAAATCCAGCTATGACCTTCAAGCTTTCACTATGTCTCAGCAAGCAATTCATGAACACACTTTCAAGATCGCTTTAGCAATTGGTCAAGCTTTTGAAGATCTTACTCACATCTGATATGTTGCACCCCAAATTCATCGACGGCTTACGACCTTTCAAAACCTAAAGCTTGATGCAGTTTTCAATGGAACTGAACGAAACTTTCTCCGACATGTAAGTTCCTTTTTTTCCATTTGCCAATCACGTTCAGCAATTGATGTTACTGTTTTTGTGCATGAAACTAACCCAGGCACGGATGTCAGAAGAAAACTTCTACCAATTAGCAAGTCTCATCCGTGATGATCTCGTATTCCACAACAACGCCTCTAACCCTCAAGCACCTGTTGAATGGCAGTTGATGGTCACTTTGTATAGGCTCGGACATAGCGGGAGCGGTGGTAGTGCTTATATGATAGGGCGGGCTTTTGGTATTAGTGGTACGTTACAAATACCAAATTCCATGTGACCATACTGACACTTAGTCTTTTTAGAAGGCTCAGTTCACAATTTTACACATTGATGTTTCGAGGCCATTTTAAAACTAGAGTACAAATACGTCTACTGGCCGCCTCAAGACAAAAGAAATGAAATCAAGCGGAATTTTGGGCGGAAGTCTTTTTTTAAAGACTGCGTAGGGTGTATCGATGGTACTTTAATACCTCTTTCTTTTGCACCAGTCAAAAATCCCGAGTATTTCTGGACTAGTAAGCATATCTACGCACTCAACACTCTGTTGATCAGTGATCATCGAGGTCGAATCATCTACGCCAAACACAGGTGGTGTGGTAGTGCACACGACCAACGAGTGTATAATTCAACTCATGTAAGTTGATTTTTTTTTGATCATGATGAATGTTGCTGTTGACCAGTTGTGTTTAGCTTGCACAAAATTTAGATCAGTATTTTAGCGAGAACAAATATCTCTTGGCCAACTCTGGTTATTCATGTTCAAAGAATATCATTCCTACCTTCAAGAGCCCTCGATTGCAAAAGTTGGATCCTTTGAAAAGGGATTTCAACCGGGCTCTAAGTGAACAAAGGGTCGTTAGTGAACACGGTAATGGCCAACTTAAGCTGCGATTCCAATATTTGCAAGACTTGCGGATCCTCATTAAGGATGTCCATTCAGCAACACATGCAACCAACTGGCTGCGCGTGTGTTGCATACTACACAATTTTTCAATTAAGTTTAATGATGTTTGGACCCCAGAACATCCGGTAAATCTTGAAGTCCCTAATGGTAATGGTGACACTGATGGTGACCATTTGCCTTTGGGATTGGGACAAAATACTGCTTACGTCAGGCAAAACACTCTCCTAGAAGATTTTAGAATTTATTGTCAAAGTCAACATTATTGAACCAAAGGGTTTTAGAATAATTCAAATACATCAAAATTAGTGATCCTGTTTCAAGATAATCTTCAAGTTTCAATATTTGAGTGACTTGTTTTTAACTTTGATCAATTTAAACACTCAAAAAGATTTAATGAATTCAAAAGTTTTTGGAGCAGTTGTTATTTGCACTTAAACTGGTTGTACGTTACAAGATATCTTATGTTACAAATGAATCATTTGATCTTGTGAATCCAATGAGAAATTTTTAAATTTTACACTTTTTTTAAAACATCAAGTGTGTCAAAAATCACTGTCCGAGTCAGGACAATGAGAGAACTGGTCTCAATTTTGGGTAACAAAAAATCAATCTTTATTTCAAATATAATCAGGAGATAACCCTTTTCAAATACCATGTTCTTTTGAACTATTTTAATAACACATCATTTTAATTTTTTTTTTTGAGAGGACCAGAAACTTTTTTTAGGATTTTTTGAAGACAACTTTTAATAAGAACCAATAGGAATATAACTGAGGTGGCCAGATTGTAAGTGAACACTAATCATTTCTTTGAAGACAGAGACAAGAACTTTTTTTTAGTATTTTTGGAATACTTGACTATTTGAAGATAAAGAAATTTCAATAAATCTTAAGATTTCAAACTACAGCCATTCCGATATTTCTTGTCGCTCACATTTTTGAAAAGAAAAAGTTTATGAGCTCGAAACTTAAGTTTTAACTGGTTAAAACCTGAAAATTGGCTGTATTTCCTTGAATTACAGCCAATTTCAAAGTTTTATCGAGTAAAAACTTAGGTTTCACCAAGTTTCACTTTTTCTGTTTCAAAACGGAGCAACAAGAAATATTGGAATGGCTGTAACCAAAGAAATAAAAAAAAGAAAATGTAAGCTTAATAAATATAAAACCAAATTAATCACCGAGGCTTATTTCAAATCCTCAAGGGCAGCCTGAGCCATCCGTTCAGCCTCGTTATAAGGAATCGTTGAAGCCAAAAGTTTTGCTATCATCGAAATCTTCTCACAAGCTAATTCTAGCTTGGAAAGGCCCGCGCCCTGGCTGTGGTCTTCCAAAGCCCTGCACTCCTGAGCCAATTCCCGATCCAATTTCAAAATCTCGAGCTCCTCTTGTTTCTTCTTCTTAGCAAGTCTCCTTTCTATCGCCTCTGGTGTTAAATCTTCTTCTTCAACCGGGTGTTTGTGGTTTGAATTTTAACTCCCAAAATGTGCTTCTAAGATACTAGCCATACCCAATGTCGCTCCGGCTACTTGTTCCAGCATCAATTTTTGATTTTTGTTTGCAACCTTATTGTTTTCATTCATTTCTTTGAAATCCGCTTGAGTAGGTAACGATGATTGGATTGATTTCAAGATACCCGAGCCTCCTAAGTTGCGTCTTGAGAATTCGTTCTTGGAAGGGTTGTTGGCTGGACTAAAGGTACCAGGTGGATTGGACTTTGATTGACCAAGAGATTGTGAGCTAGAAGAGCATTGGACAGAGGACGAATTAGAAGGTCTCGGCTGGACCACTTCATTGTTAATCATTAGGTTGTTGTCCTCAAGAACTCGATGTAATTCCTCGTTGCTGATATCCTTAGAAGTGTTGAGATCAATAGATTGGGATTGATTTCCCCTAGTGCATTGAGTTGATAAGGTTTCTTCAACAGGGGGGAAAGAGCGTTGTGTTGAAGTATTGGCAATAGAATCTGAGTCGATTATACCGATTTCAGCTGCGTTCATAGGTTCGTTGCAAGGACAATCGCTCATGATTGGAAGGAGCACATCGTAGTAGGCACATTTGCTAAGTAAAATGTCTGTGTCAGACTGCAGTCAGCTACATATTCCACCTACATATGGATCATATGTGAAAAAGTTACTCACCTTTAGTTGTTTTAGCAGTCAACTCCCTCATCTCATCCTCCAATTCTGGAGTCCATTGCTTGGTTTCCCGTAGTGCCACGATTTCCGCCTCTGTATTCTCAATCATCATTACTCCACCACCAGTTCCTGTACGCTAGCCTTTGGCCCCATGAAATTTACATTCTAAGATATCAATCTGTATTTGAAGTAGGATGAGATTCGAAGAAGATGAAGAAATTATCATCAGTTTTTGTCAATTAAAAGAATTGATGAGAAAGAAACACAGACCTGCTGTTTAACACCAGGGCAGGTGAACCCACTGAACCCCTTTGCCGAAAGGAACTTACCACACCTTTCTGCACATTCTCTTTTTTTGGGGATGCCCATGCAATATTGTGAGTAATTGGTTGATTCGGTATCGTAGCTCTCCATGCACATCCAATCTGAGTCATTTGGAGAATCTTGATCACCCCACGTGAAACACAACCATTCTACTATTAAATCAAGCATAGTCTTGCCATCTTCATTTGTATCTTTCACCCACGAGATTTGCTTTTGAGAGTTGTCATTGTCTTCAACTGGTGATTTGGCGTTTGAAGTGTCTGGAACAGATGTTTTCACGGTCAAACCTTCTTCTGGTGATATCGCTCCACCTGAAGTCTCTTGAACTGATGATGGTGCGGTTGAAATGGCTTGAACTGATGATTGAGTGGTTGAAGCTGAAGCCGAAGAAGATTTCTTACTATTCTTCTTCGAAGTACAAGTTCCAGTTCCACGAGGTTTCCTCTTTGGCTTATCGGAGGTTGGCCCCATTGGAGCAGGAGTCGATGAGACAGAAGATGTTAAATTCGGTACCAAAGGAGCAGGTGATATAGCTGGCTGAAGAGGCTGAGATCCAGGATAAGCCAAGATGACTGGAGAAGGTGAGGAGATATAGGGATTGTGGTGAGGATAGGGCGATATAAGCTGAAGAGGGGTGGCTGGACTAGTATTGTTGGTGTTTGTGCAGACCCATACAACGTCGCTCGAGGTTAAGTTGATGGGTGTTGCTGGGGGGTTTTGGGAGTTATTTGGATTTTGCGAGGTGCATTGGTTGAGTTGTTGGTTGAGTTGTTAAAGTTTGGTTGTGGAGGAGGTTGATCGGACATGGTTGGGGTGAGGGGAACCGGGGGTGAGGGAGGGCAGGGCAAACTCAACTCAGAACTGGACAAGGGTCTCAGGTGGCGTCAGTGAATTTGCTGTCAAAAAAAATATATACTTTCGCCAGCCGCACATAGTTTTAAACACAACACAAAAAAGTATGTGGGAGCAAGTATGTACAGCCACATACTTGCTTTGAGTACCGTAAAAGTATACACAACTTTGAGTAGCCTAAATTTTCATAACACATACACAAAATCTTAAAAAAAAGGAACCATTCATTCCTCAAACCAACTATACTTGACCTATCCTTTAATCCCTTCTAATCACAATGATCTTCAAAAGACATCAAACACAATCCAAAAACTATCCTTCTTACAGTTTTCTAGTTATCTACTTCACATATACTTGCCAAACAGCCATCTTTCTCTAGTACTGTTATATATATAGAGATCATTCAAAGATGAATGAGAATCACATCCATACTAATACCAATTTAGCCTAGCAAATATATAAGGATGCCGCTGCGGGGACAACCCCCCCTTCACTCGGGGGACACCCCCCTGGCTGTATTTCTGCCTGTATGCAATCAAAAATAAAAATAAAAATCGATTTTTTGATCGAACGATCAACAACGATCAACGGTTGATCGTGATTAACTAATAAAAAGTGTTTTGTTGTAGACCTGATGCTCAGGACCAATGGCAAAGGGTTTAAGAGCAGCAGAAGATTCTCTCAAGTGACAACAAGTCCATTAAAGGATTTCATTGGTTTGAACTTTGTATTGCAGAATGTTGTTTAACAGCTTTACTAGTAGAAGCACCGTTCAAAGAGGGACAAGTACGCTTATTATGTGTCTCTTGATGACATATACCACATTTCCTTTTTTTTTGAGTTGAGATAGAACTACCTACCACATACTCAAAACCCGATGGATCACGTTTAGTAGAGTTTGAAGTGGAGCCGGAAGGACGCCCTCGACTGCGAATCGGGACTGGATCACTCACGGGTGCAGTGCAGTTGTGTAATAGGTCGGTAAGGCTGTTTTCAAGTGTGAGTTGAAGATGCGGAGGGAGATGCGAGTGCTGTACTTGTAAGTTGTGAAATAATTCACTTGAGGTTGGTACATGCTGATGAGTATCAATGATGTTTGATTGTTCTAAATGCCAGTGCGGATCAAAGTGTTCGATTTTGATTGGGTCACCTGAACCAAGTAGGTTCCGAATGAAATGGGAACAAGGTAAACCTTGGGATCCACTCAATACATATGTACAACAAGGCGAGTTCTCAGTCATTGGAACTGCTTTTCGATACTGTTCCAAAGTCTGAGAATTAGATGATGATGAGGTTAACTCAGGTGGTGGTTTGGAAGAGAAGAAGGATGATGTTACACACAAGAATCAATGCATGGTGCGAGATCTTACGATGGACTTGAAGCCAGAAATCGCCTCGGAGTTGAATGAGATTGTATTTGCGATCATGTCCAATTTTATAAGAGATCCAATTAACCTGTTGCTGACATGCCAGTTCGATCTTTTCATAAACACTTTGGAGGTCGCCAGTGGACACATGGATCCACTCCTTGATGTTTGCGTGTCCTCCTTCTACTCGTGAGGTGACCGTGTGACCAAAATGCTTGACATCTTTTGTCCATGCAAGTACAAACTTTTCCTTATGTACAAGCCAGATCTTTTCAAGATAACAAAAGCCTGCTGGCTTGATGTATTCTCAAAGTCCTTGAAAGCGTTCAGTGAACTCTTCGGGAGTTATAGAATTAGAAGCCTCGGTCCATTTTGCTTTGAATGTTTCCCACCCTTTGTCATTTTCTCCATCTTTGTCGCGGAAGTGTTTCTGCAGGTTTGTAGTTAAGTTGTTTTCAATGTGCCATTTACATAGTAAGTTTGAGCCATCTGGGAAAGCTTGAGCTACTCCGCGCATAAGGGCGAGTTCTCGATCAGTTACTACAACAACATCTTTTGATAAAGACGATTTATAGGCAAGTTTGATGTGTCCCAATGCCCAAAGGTAGTCTTCTTCAGTTTCTCGGTGCATGAAACAATAACATAACGAGAGTGTTTGATGAGTAGATGTGACACCAACAACATGTAGAAGTGGCATTTTGAATCTGATTTAAAAGGATGTAGTCAAGATGTCAGTTCATCTGTTGCTTGATGAAGATTGAAGAGAGATGATGTTACCTATTAGTCTTGTAAGTCGAGTCCATGAGGATCACATCTGTAGCACCGTAGTTTTTAGCAGCCAAGACACAAATCTTAGGTGCAATGAAGAGACGAAGTAAATGATTATCCGAGTCTTTCTCATATGCATGGTATACACTTTCTTCTTTGAGGGTGTCGAGTAAGGCTTCAAGTGATGTCCGTCCTTGTAGAAAATCATCCCGGTCTCGATTATTCAAGTTATAAATATCGCGAGGTATGCTGAGATTAGTTGGGTCCGATGACTTTAGATTCCTCAAGATAACCTTGGGTGCTGTTCCACATTTGTTCATCTCTTTTGCTTGTTCAATCTGCTGGTCCGTCAGAGCTCGGGCCCCTGGGTATTCTGCTAAGGTGTCTGAAGGTTCATGATTATGTTCATTCATGGTGATTACAACCCTCCATTCGTACGTATTGTCGGTAATTAGATGGCGTTTGATTTCAGCTGACCACGGACACTGTAAGAGCCTGCTACATGTTGTCTGTATGTTGTTCTCTTGTGGTGTGTGCTTCCCTCCATGAGCGCATTCTAGCCATACTTTTCTAACACATCCAGTTTTGCTTTTCTTTGAGCGCAGGCGATTCAAAAAGTAACCTTGTTGATTAGCATAGCTTTGAATAGCATCTTCGGCTTCCTTGCATGAGAAGTATGGTAGCTGATGTGGTTCAAGGCCTAACAATACTGGATCGATTGGGGTGATTTCAGACATAAAGCTTGAAGATGAAGTAAATGTGCTGTTCTTTGAAAAAGCTTGACTATTGGCTGAATATGGTTGGAGAGGTTTGTGGCATACACAGATTGAAGAACATGATGAATCTCAAATTTGGTGGATTTTATTTTTATTTTTTTATTTTTGATTGCATACAGGCAGAAATACAGCCAGGGGGGTGTCCCCCGAGTGAAGGGGGGGTGTCCCCGCAGCGGCATCCTTAAAAAAAAATTAAAAAAACCATTCGATTCGATTCGATTTCTGACTTGAACCACTTTTTCATCAACTTCTCTATCACCATCACCAAGAACACCATCAAAATCAAAATCATGTCAAGAACACAATCCACTCCACCTATCAATCAATACTATACCATTCAAAAATCAGAAACCAATCGTAAAGGTCCTCACTTTATAACATGTTTAAGTTCAGATGGAAATTCAAGTAAATTAAGAGATATCGGATCAGTAATCGATACAACTGGTGCTAAATGTACTTGGCATGCAGATGAT